GAGGCAAATGCCATGTTTGCTTCCAAAGTATTGGCATATTCCCACATCCCTCACTGCTTCCCCCGTAAGTGTCAATCATGCTGTAGGGTACAAAACTATACATCCTAGCATGCATAAGCCATTCAGAAAGGAGATTTTTCAAAAATACAGTAGGTGGCAGAAAGTGAAATTGGCATTTGCTTTCATTGACATAAAGTTCAGTTTCTGACAAAGATCCATAGTGGTTTAAGATTCCCATAGTATTATGCATGCTTGGCATTAGGTAATCTTCAGCAACGGGGAAAGAGGAGGTGAATGTAAAATATTGAGTTCTCCTCTTACTTTTATATGTGAATTGGGAGTAGTGATCCCAACACCAGGCTCACGTGGATGTGTAATAATGAACCTGATTTACAAGCAATGACTGCCTTTAAGATGTTATCGAGTGCTTTTTCTTCCCTTGGGTCTCTTGTAACCTTCTTGTTTTGAAAACAGTTCCTTGGCACTTGCTTCCTGAGCCCCGTGCTGAACACAGGAGAGATGGTGGTTCTGGGGCAGAAGAGGTTGTTTCATTTATTCCATGTGGAAACTGGACAGGTGTGCCATGTGCCAGGATTTCTAAAAATGCAGTACAAAATTACAGGCAGTAAGCAATGAGGGAAAAAAAAAAAAAAAAGTTGTCTATTGCTTCATCTTTAAGAAAAGGAAGACAGATTTATGTGAGGAGAATAAATGAAACTTCTAGGGAAAAGAGAGTGGGAGCCAACTCAGAAAATGGCCATGGGAACCAACCTTGAGGTTTAATTGCCTGAAATGGAGAGCTTTTCCAACCCCGTTTCTGTTTTTCTTTATTCACTGTTTTTTTGTCCCACAACAACCTTGAGTGGCCTTAGGGGTTTGCACTGGGGATACATCGAGGCACTAGTTCAATCTAGAAGGAGTACCGAACATTAGAGGAGAGGTGGGCTTTCTGTCCAGGAGGTGTTGTGGACACTCATTACATCATGTTTTCCGTGCTTTGTTTTGATTGATGGCTTTATGAACATACATCTGGCTCAGCTTTTCAAGCCTGGCCTTCAAGAGCTGATGTGTTAACTTCCTAGACAAAACCCTGGGACTACCCAAAACACCTACCTGATCCCATTGCACTGCATTTTGTCATCTCATTAGCACAGATTTTGTCGTTCCAGTCCATCTCGACTTTAGTAGGATGAGTCAGAGTCTGAGAATTGCTTTTTTCTTTTTTCTTTCTTTTTTTTTTTTTTTTCCTTAAGACTGCTTTCCATTAAATCTGCATTACCTTGCTTTACTGAGTTTAAATCTTAAAGCTGTACTTAAAGGACCAAAGACGCTTTAGCCACACAATTGCCATTTGACATGGGAAATTGAATGGCTAAGCCCCTGCATATATGTAATAGTCTGTACACTGCTGGATAGATTATATAATTATTCTTCATATATTAAGCAACCAATTGCTGATTTGTGTACATATGTTGGTTCATCCTTTACCAATTTCCTGTGACTGATAGTTTCCAGGAGATTAAAAGAATAGTTGGTTCCTGTCCCTTTTTTCTTCTCTTTATTTTTGTCCTTTAGCAAGAATATTTGTGTGTGTGTGTGTTTAATAGCATTCATTCCCTAGAGAATAATCTCAGTCCTTGTTTTAGCTGGCCTCCTTCTGAGAGTGTGTTAAATCTGTAGCCAAGATCACAGGCAGCCCTGGGCAAATCATTGGGCTGTTATTAACCTGCCGCCATGGCAACTGCTGCTCACCAGCCTGGGGACAAAAAATGTTTTTATTCTGCTGACTTGCACAAAAGGTTCTAGTGATGCCTTGTACAAAATGGCCATTGAAAGGGGAGATGCAGCGATGTGTGGTTGTGCTCCACAGTTTCATATTTAAATCATTTTACTCTGCTGTGTTGGAAGTGGATGTACAGCTGAAAGCTTCAGTGCAGTGGCTGTAGGGAAAGTAAAAAGTAACAGAAAATGGGAACTAGACCTTTTTAAAAAAAAAAAAAATACTTTTTTTGGTCAGCTTTAGTTTGCAGACAATCAGGGTGTACTTGCCATCAGTGCTATCAAGCTATTTTTTAAAAGTGAGTATGAGATAGGCAAACGTCATTGTGGTTTGCTGTATACTGTATGAAGGTACTTGCTGACTTGGGGTTACAGAGATGGATCATAAAGCAGATTGCCTAGAAAGCTTCCATTTTGAAAAGAAATCTTACCCAGCTGGGAAGCTGAGTACAAGTATCCTAGTGCTTGATGAACTTCTAATTTTAGCTGTTTTTTGAAGCTGATCCTCTTTAAGGTTTGAATTAAAATAAATAAATAAATAAAATTAGAAAACAGCTCTATTGTTCAGGCGAGGCATGAATTTAGGGTCCTCACAAAGCAAGGGCCTGGCAGCCCGAATCCCAAGATGAGGCGCTGTCCCACGGGTCACGTACCCTCTGGCAGGAGACTCTGCAGAAGCTGTGGTGTTGATCTGGATGGCAGACAATTGTGCATGTATGGGTGCTGTCTCATGGAAACGTGCTGTTTTGGGACTCTGTGTGCACTTGCAAGCTGGCAGTGTGCAATTTCCCTATGAACTGAAGACCCTCTGCCTGCATGTTGAGGGTTGCTGTGAAGTTCCTGCAGTTCCACGTTTGGGCAGTTTCCTCTGCCTCACTGAAAATAGCGTGGTTCCTTAACAGACCTCTTAGGGTGTCCCTTGGCCATGGTCTGAAACAATAAAGGCCACTCAAATTGTTGTGGTGCCTTCTTACTTGGGCTGTTGGGGTAGAATATGAAGAGTATAGCCACAAAGATGCTATGTGCTGCTACCAGCGACTTGGAAGAGAGGGGGTTTGGCACCATCAGTCCGTATTCAAGGGTCTGTGGATGAACAGAAGGTGTTGCAATGTGTTGGGATAAGGTATCCTACAATTTCTCTAAGACGGTTGTTCTGCTAGTAGCTTGGGCAGCAGGCTGTGCAGTGTGGGGTACCAGGGAGACAGGTACCTAGCTGGGTGGCATTAATTGTTAATCCTCTGTTTACACCAATTTTGAGAGTTTTGTCAAGCAGGCTGCTCCCATTTTCTGAAACAGGAAGCTTTTCTTGCAGACCTTGTCAGTCTGTTGGTTTTGCTTCCAGCTGTTTTTATATCCCATCTCTGGTGGGATCCTTCTGTGAAGCAATCAGCATGAGGAGGTGATTGACCTCCTGCTCACCAGGTAGCGAGCTGGCGTTTGGTTTCCTGCTCCTTCATGAGTAGGACCTGGGAGGCCATTTTGTGCTGGGCTTGTAGCCATGTCAGTGCTGGCCATGCTCTGCTGAGCTGCCATGCTGTTAGTCCTGGACAGTCCTTTGCTGCTAGCCCTGCACCAGATGCAACAATTTCTGGGATCAAGTCTAGGAGATTTGGGCCTGATGCGGAGGCAGACACTGGTGGAGGCGAGCCAACCTCACGTGTAGGACATGTTGAGTCCGATGTGTAGTTTGGGAGCTGTGGTAAAGCTGAGGTTTGCTCTGCAAGGCCTGGTATCTGAACTCAACCCTGAACCTCTGTGGTAAGACGAACATGAGAGATGATTTCCTCTGATAGCACACATCTGTGTTTGCTTGCTGTGCCTTGTCCCCTGAGTGCCCAGCTGCCGTGTCTGTCGGTGCTGCAGGGTTTCTGTCCTGGAGGTAGCTCCCACTGCGCGGCTTCCAGCTGCGGGCTTGGCTATGGATGTTTCCCAGGCTCATTCCCATGCAATTAAACCTTGCCTGCAGCCAGCAGAGTGGCATTTTAAGTCATCTCGGTGGTGGTAGCTGCTTGAGCCTGACTGGGACATTTGCCGGTGGCTCTCTAAAAAGAGAATTTTATACTTATGATCTGGACTAGGACTTTGAGGAAGCCGGGATGTGTGGGTTTGGCTGTCCCATACCCACGCAGGGTTTCTTAATTTCATGCCATCCAGCAGGAGCAGTGGGCTGTGGCACTAGGCCCGGCGTGCCATCGAGCGGGGTCCTAATGGCTTGTGTGCGTTGCGCAGTTGTATGAAACGTACCTTAATGGAGACAGCTTAATGCCATCACCCCGAAGTAATGAATTGGTATGGATTGCCATTACCATTATAACGCGGTTAAAAGCTGTGTTTGTTTCCGATTTACATTTCCCAGCTCTGCAAGCAGATGGGCTTTCAGGCAGGGCGGTCGGGAGGAGCCTGGTAATACGGCTGCCACGACCTTATTGCAGCGCTTGCCGAGCAGCAGTTCTGGGGGGTTGTTTTGTTAGCTCAGACTGCCTAGACAATAAATTTCATTAAGACTATGATTACGCTACTGCAGACTGTACTCGGGGATCACTGTAAATCCAGTGCGTCCTATAAAGCTGGAAATGTATAATACTGCTCCATCTCACTACTGTCAGTAAAAATTGCTACTTTTTGGCAGCTACTATTTTTTTTCTGCTGATAAATATCTGTATCTGTACAAACTTATATGGATTTAGACAGAAAGATATGGAAGAGCACAGAGTAGTTAGGTTTCACAGACCTAAACATGTTCCCCTGTCAATGAAAGCAACAAAGCATCTTTCACTTTTCCAGAAGGCTTCGTTGGCTTGAGCGCTTACTTCTCTGGCTTCCCAAGCACTGCTAGCACCTGGTGCTCGTGTCCTTAATACCAGTAATGCTGACATGTGATGAGCTCTGTGTCAGCAGCTGAATTGCAACGGATCACTTCAGATAAACAGCTTTTTTTCTTTTTCCATTTCATAGGCTGTCTCATCGATATCCTCTTGATCCTGTAGAGTTAGGAGCACTTGGCCCACTTTCTGGGCTTTGAGCCCACCCCAACAGATCTGTAGGTCACTGTTTTAGAGGGTGATGCTTTCTTGCACCATCTATAGATTTTTGCTTAGCGCAACATCAATGTCTGGGCCTTTTTTCCCCACGGCTTTTGTCAAGCAGAGAGCGAATATTCTTTTCCCTCATTATTTGCTTTTTGCTCATAACGTTCCTTTGGCTTTCTCTCTTCTGCTTAGGTTGCTTTGAATGTTGCATTAAGTGCCTAGGAGGAGTGCCATATGCTTCGCTGGTGGCAACCATTCTCTGCTTCTCGGGGGTAGCCTTGTTTTGTGGCTGCGGCCATGTGGCGCTCACAGGCACGGTGTCCATCCTTGAGCAGCACTTCTCCACGACTGCCAGCGACCATGCTTTGCTGAGTGAAGTGTAAGTATGCCTCCCATTGCCATTATTCATGAAGAACTTCCACCACGGCACCCTCATGCTGGATGGGCAGAGATGGGTTCAAATCTCAGTCTCTATCCCTGAGCATTAGGTTGCCAGTTTCTCCAACACCTATAGGTGTTTTTCAGTGTTTACACTCAAAGATGCAGAGTGTGTATCCTGCTTAACCCATTTGTATTCATTACATCAGTTTCATGAGCATCAAGAGACCTCTAAATAGGTGCATTATACCTACTGCTCCAGAATTATACCTGACTTTTTTCAGTCATCAGAAAACAAAGATGCACCCAGAGTGGAGAAGCAGCTTTTTGCACAGGGCAGGATAAGATCCTGTGCTTGAATTAGATTCCCTGGTAAATGTGTTGAAACCCAAAGAAATACTATCCAGCAGCAATACAAAGTTTGAAGGTATAACAGAAATAACTGTGAAGCGTTGTTGTGTCCATCGCCCCTCAGAAGAAGGTGGATGGGTATTGTGCACTAAGCAGAAAAGCAGGAAAAAAAGGAGAGAGGAAAGATTATAAATAGTATAGATGTTTGTCTTTGCTACTTTAGCCTTTGCAAATAACCACCAGTGAAATGTTAGGGGATTTTGTGTTCCTGAGCTTTATCAGTGAAGCCTGTTTCAGAGCCTGCAGCCAGCATCCAGCCCCACTGGAGCAAACCTCTGTTTTCCTTTAATGATGAGGACCGGGTAGACCCAAGTGTTCAGTACTTCAGATACCTGGTCTTTGGAGCATCAGCTGGGTGTTACATGTCCCCTGATGCTGAAGCTGCTGGTCCTTGAGAAGACTTCTGTTTAGTGGTGGAAAGGAATTTTGATCAAGCTGAACTTCATGGAGATTGCATGCCAGTGTCAAGATGCTAAGGAGTCAGGGCAGCAGGAACATGGGCTCTACAGGGGGGCCCTGCCCATCTGCCAGCTTCTGCAAAGTTTTTGTTTGTTTTTGTTACTTCATTGTTTTGCATTGTTTTTGTTTTTCCATAGCCTTCCTTTTAGCTCTTGTGGACACAGACCTGTCAATCTGCAGGCACTGAGCCTGAGACCACCACAACTCCCCCCTTCCCATCCTCTGAGAGCACTGACTGCAGGCCTGCAGCACCATTTGGGGGCTTTTCCCCCTCCCAATGCCCAAAGCTGCCCCATGGCACTGGGATTGCACCCAGCCACTGATCCCTGTGCCCCCTGAGGCTGAGCACCATGTCCCCAGCTCTGTTGTGCGAACCACAGGGATGCTGCCATTAGCATAAAAATTTAGAGAAAAACAATGAGCAGCTGTTCTTAGAATTTGAAAATGAAATTGCAAAAGTAGCCACAACAGGCAGCAAGTTTTGAATTTTGGAGAATTGTTGACAATGTTTCTTGCTGAGGCAGCATCAGCAGCTGGGGGGCTGTGTAATTCCTACCAAATTCCAGCTGTAATTCCAGCAGTGGTCTCTGGCTCTGTGGAAGTCAAACAAGAAAGGCAAGGGAGAGGAGATGCCAGAAAGGGGCAAATTATTTAAGGCCAAGAGATGTAAAATAAATGAAAAATATATTAGTAGGGCCATCATTTGTAGAACAGATTTTTAACCAGGTTTTGTATTACTAATTTCTAGTAATGTACATAGACTGTTGGTGACAGTGAAATGTATTCTTTTATTCTCCATCAAATGCTGAGTTAATTTTTTCATGCTTTATAGTGCAGGTGCAATGGGTTTATCCTGTTATTTTGAATCACTTTGGAAAATAAACATGAACACTATTTCACTTCCCACATATAATTTTAAATGAGCAATATCCTATTTTGATACAAGGGGTGTGCTATCTGTCTGGATAACATTTAACTGTATAAATGGTAGTCATCAGTTTTCTTTAAATGAAGCTAAAACATGCAGGTGCTCCTTGAAGAAGCTAGTTGGGGGAGAGTAGTGAGAATTGAAAAAAAATCTAAGGAAAAATGTATATGCATTTTTTCCTAAAACAAACAAATGAAAGCATTAGTATAGATCTACAAGTTTAATTTTCCTGTTATGTGAATATATTCATCTGAAATAAACATCTCAACAAAAAATATATATATATATTTTTTAAAGACATTAATTCTGGAGAAGTTTGCAATGAAGTATGATTTTTGGAGACCAGCAGAATTGTTGTATAGAAGATCTGGCATTCTGGTCCTCCAAAACAGTCAGGTTCACACACTGAATCCATAACTGGATTGGTAATACTAGAAATGATTCCATTTACCTGTTCTACCAAGAGTAAAAATACCATAAGATTTTCACTGCAGATGGTAGGTTTGTAGGAAATCAAGAATCTTCTCAAATAAGATTCAAAGGAAGCTTTTATGCCACATACCCTGCGATCTTCTTCTGGACAGTTCCAGACTACCTCAAATGGAAGTATTTCCTAAATATTTGCTGTAGGTTTTTAAAGCTTAACTGCATTAAAGGGAGCTTAACACAGCTGTGTGACTTCAGGTGCTGAAGCTCTCTTGGAAGTACCCTCCTAGGCTGTGGAGCAGACCATTCCTCAGAACTCTCTGCAACGTTTGCTGAGTTTTGTATCAGACAAGTTCCACACCAATTTCTGTAAACATATGTTAACTGGATTTTACATGTCAAAACAGTGAATTTTGGGGGTCTACTTCCTTCCCCTAAGCCAAAGGAGCCACCGTGGAGCATGGTTGTTCAGCCAGTAGTTCAGCTCCAGCCTTTTCTGCTTCAGTGCACGCTTTCTATGCCATAGCTATTGGACATTCCCTGAGGTAGGTGTCAGGGTCAGACACAGGGGAAAAAAAAATAATTTCTATGATGGATGCACGAAATGGAGTCTTCCAGCTTGTGACTAACAGCAGTCAGGGTAGGAACTGCAGCACAAACAGTGTGTGCAAAACTAATGGGCATTGGTACTGCTTACCTGTAGAAGTTGTAGCAGCACTTTCCTGCAGCCTACATGCTTAAAATGCTTTAAAGAGCCTTGAGCTGTGTTTCTAGAAAGTGAGTTGACTCATACCTGCTATGATTAGGGAAGACTTGCTTTGTTTTAAAAGGAATTAAATCTAATTACATCCTTTTTTTTTTTCTTTTTCATTTTAGAATACAGCTAATGCAGTATGTAATTTATGGCATTGCATCATTTTTCTTCTTATATGGAATAATCCTTTTGGCAGAAGGCTTTTACACAACAAGTGCTGTGAAGGAGCTGCATGGAGAGTTCAAAACGACAGCTTGTGGCCGCTGCATCAGTGGGATGGTGAGTAGCACTAGGAGTGGGAACGTTGTCTTTCCTTGCTAAAACCTGTTGAGCTTGGCTTGACTCCTGTGTCTCTGAACCACAGTGTATTGCCAGAACCTCTGTTTAACTCCTTATGGGTGAGCCAGTCCCTGTTGCTGGTCCCTGTCTGAATTTTGTGGATGCTTGGTCAAACCCAAGTTCTGCAGGTTGACTGGTGGGGTGCTACCGCGGCCTTCCCCTCCTAAAGCTGAACCCACTGTTTGAAACTGGTGGAGGCTGCTGATTTTGAAAAACTCTGTGTGAGACAAAATGAAATTTGCACTTTTGAACACAGAGTACACTGATAATGTTCAAGGGCAGATTGTAAGATGGCTGTGGTTTGCAGAGCTATTTAAATAGCAGACTGCAATGCCTCTGACTTCCATAGTCTATTCTACATGGGAACGTCTGGATCCTTCAAACAAACACTAATGAATGAAGCTTCACAACATCTTTGCACTTGAATCAAGTATTTCTGTCTTGCTTTTGCAGATGGCAAAAGGCATACAGATATAATAATGAGTCTTTTTTGCAAAGCTGAAACACTTAGAGCCTTAAAGTTACAAGCCATCTTCCCTTCAATATACTTCTGTATTAGAACATCTTAAACAAAGTTTAACTAAAAATAAAACTTCAGATTCTCACCCACATTGCCCCCTAGGGCGCACTCTGCAAGAACAGAAACATAACTATGTTTCTAAGACAGGATTTCAAAGTTATTTCTGAAAATCTGAATTCAAAGCTTGTAGTTCTGGAGGAAGCTAAGCAGTATGACAGATCGCCCACGGGAAAGTGTGGGTGAGAAGAGAAGAGGCTTTTGATGTGATTGTTGCATTTTAATATACAACCTATATCCTGTACTTAAAAAATATGTACTTTCAGCTGGTTAAATACAAAGAAGATGCATGTTTATTTTCAAAAGGGTTAAGAATTTTCCACTGTGCTGTCGGATACTTACTGAATTTTTCAAGGGCTAATAAAAATAAGACATTCAATCATTTTATAGTTAAGTAGCTATTTTCTTGCTCTTTTCTTTGAAAGTATCATCTTCAGTGAGGAGCAAAATTATGTCTAAAACAGCATTTCCAAAGATCCAAAATACAGTAGAAGCATACACATCTCGTTACTGCAGATAGTTGGGTAGTTGGAGGCACATCACTGTCAGCTGCTTACACAAATTACCAGTGTGACACACAGACATATGACACAAAAACATGTTTTCATGTTGTCCTGTTTGTCCAGACAATTAAAGAGAGAATTTAGCAGTTCAGTTAAGACTTGAAGCTCTGGTAAGACATCTCAGTGGTTGGTGGTGACAGCTATGGCATATGCCACTGTCTCGTGCTAGAGCTGCTTAAAACACCAGGCTTTAGAACAAGGTTTGTGAGGAGAAACAACATCCTAACAGACTGGTGGTGCCTGCAGACAGCAGCTTTTAGCCATCCACTGTGTTTTTCTGCCTATTTAATCAAGAACACTTCTACTTATTCCTCATTTACATCACCAAGCTGGGTGCAATCCCTTCCATGTTGCATAAGGTTACTACAGAAGATAGTCTTTTGACTTGACTGAATTATTTCTGTTGGCTGTGGTAATGCAGAAGAACTGTTTCCAACATTTTATCTGTATTGTATGTGAGAGTGTTTTTTTTTTAACTTTTTTTTTCTTAGCTATTTTAGAAGTTAAAGGCTTCCCATTCTCGCTCTCATGCATATTTCAAATACGCACATGCAAACCCATGTTTTATGTATAGTGTATCTATAGAAATCCTTTAAACTGGTCTACTTGGTTATTACCAAAACCCACTGAGAACTTCTAGCGTCTGGCATGACGTAGGGTATTTTAGCTCAGTTGTATTAATTTAAGACTAGCAGGCTTTCTGTGTATGTCTGTTTTCCAAGTGCTTCCAACTCCCCACCTTCTTTCCCTCCAAAATCTAACCAGTTACTTCAAAGTTGCTCAGTGTGTCTGGACACACCTCTGAGGATGCAAACTTCCACTGCTGCAGAATTTGTTCAGGCTGTCAGTTCTGGGGTCAGGCTGAGACAACCCCCACTTCAGTTCCTTTCCCATCTCTGCTGCTCTGGCACACAGGCTTCTGATAAGAATACAGTGCTCTACTGGAAAGTGAAGCCTTTCCAACCCACCTACAGTCAAAGAATGGTGATAAAGGAACATATAAAATATAAAAATGTTTCCCCATTTTGCAAGGGGAATCCAAACCTTAGCCTCTCAAGGAGGGGGAAGCTAGGAGCTGATGCCAGTGTTCACGAGATAGTGTTTCACTATAAAACTTAACATGGAAGAATAGGAGAGAGCGGAGGTCCAGTGGGAGCAGAAAGCTGGAGATATCTGGAGCAGTGAGTGAGTACCTGATAATCTTACCAAAGAAAATGTATGTAATATTGACCAAAAAAAATAATCAAATTTTAATGGGAAAATCCATGATCATCTGAGCTGAAGTAAGTAATTTTTGTCTTGGCAATGTGTATTAGTTTTCTGATCTGCTGTAATGAACATGGTATGTTTTCTAAAATAGGTATTCTCAACTGTTACATTCAAAATTGATTTCAATAAATCAGGGAGTACATAAGAGCTCTGCATACATCAATTCACTCTATTGTTTTGATTTGCAAGTTGTATAGAAGTGCTAGTATATTGCAGTTAATAAAAAAAAAAAAATCCTTAAATTGACTTTTGTTGGAATTTTATTGGTTTTAGCCTACAACCTGCTTAGCTGAGACTCTTGAGAAATTAATGAACTGCTCATTCAGGAGGCCAAGCTGCTTGCTCAAGCAGCCAGATGAAAAAAGAAATGTCTGAATTACTTTTTCAGAAGCACTTAGAGTACCAAAGTATTTGTAAGCAACATAAGCAATGCTAGTGTTGTTAGTATGTATGGAAATAATGAAATAATTTAATGGAAATTAAATACTTTATTACTTAATTTCTGAAAATATGTTTAAAGACTGTACTGAAGCATTTTTTTAAGGAAAATTCAAGTATTCTTTTCAAAGAGCAAATATGAAGTGCATGTGTTTTCTCTGCCCAGTTTGTTTTCCTCACCTATGTGCTTGGAGTGGCCTGGCTTGGGGTCTTTGGCTTCTCCGCTGTGCCTGTCTTTATGTTCTATAACATATGGTCAACTTGCGAAGTCATCAAATCTCTTCAGACAAATATGACAGTTCCAGGGGACCAGATCTGCGTGGATATCAGGCAATACGGTACTTATTTAAATCCTGATTAAATGCTTTATCCTTTCTCCTTGGTCTATCTTCAGTAGTTTTGTTTCAGCTTTATCAAATGAACCAAATGCAAAAGCATCTTGTGTCCCTGAATGTGCTATTACTTTTCTAATTAATTCAGATTACATTGATCTCTTTCCAGATGCAATCAGTTTAACTGAACAGGCAAGTCATTTATCTAAAATGATTTTGTAGCAGTTTCCAATACCATAATATTAGGTGTAAAAATAGATCAGCCTCAAAATAAACTTCTTAGAGACAAAGCTGAGAGATAACCAGAATCTGTTTTCTTAAGCCCATTTGTATATGTATTTTCTTTCAAAAAGCTGTTTTTACATTTAATTATGAAGTTAATGCCTGAGTTTTGCTGTAATGATTACTTTCAGTGAAAACCAAAAACCTGCAATTGAGGGTCTGCCTCAGATATTAATGAATTAACTCTGCTTTCTAATTACACACAGAAAACTGGGGGAGGGGAGGGGTGCAAGTAGCAGAGCAGTGGGGAAATAGCTTAAAATATTGTCTGGCCTTTCAAATACTTTAGTCATTAAAGTGTATTTTTCCTGAAGTTAATCTCATCTTCCTCTGTGCTGAAAACCTTCTGTCACAGTTACTTTGGGCTTCATTTCAGCTTGCATTTTCTGGGTATGTTTGTTTCTTTGGACTAATTAAATCAAAGCTGAGGAAACTGATTCACAGTCAAGAAAGAAAGCAAGCTAGGTTTTTCTTTCCTGTCCTGGTTGTAGGTTCAGTAGGAGAGAATAAGATGTACCAACTTTAAAAGTAAGAAGTCCCAAATCAAATACTTGCATCCTATTTCAGCAGCTGCCACCAAGAGGCTGGGAAGTACCCTTTTTCAGTAGCAAAGCCCAGGAGTGCAGGGGGAAGGTGCACTCCTCCACCCTTCTGCTTCTCCTGTTTGTTTTGCAGCTGTGCCAGGGCAGTGAGGGGCTGTGTTTCTCCTCTGATTGATAAAATCATTTGTCTTTCAATGAGTGGCGGGAGGGAGCAGCTTCTCAACGCGCTGCTTGTGTCACTGAAGTGTCTTCTAGTTCTGCAGGAACTAGAAGCAATAGCTGAATGCCTTCAACTGTATCTTGCAGTTGCAGAGAAGAAACTGGCTTTAAAGTAAATCCTATAAAGTCTTTCTGAAAGCCATATTGTCCTGAGATAGTTTCAATGACCTGCCCCTTACAAAGTTCCTAATTCCAACCAGCCGAGTTTAAAATGTGAGTTGTACCGAGGAGGCAAAGTGCTGTTTTCCTTTTTCAAGCCATGGCTTCTGCTTAAGCTTTACATCTGTTACTGGTCTAAAAGTTTAGGTTATTTTAAACTTTCTAGATCCCATCGACTTTTCAGATTTTCAATCATGTAAGAAAAGTAATTGGGAGTACGTGAGGTATAGCAGACCAGATTCTCCTGTAGCAGCTCTAACTTAATGCTTTTTTACCTTCTGGAACTTAAATAGAAGAAAATTCTTGTGTAGTTCTCCCCTCCAGCTCCTCATTCACCCTCTTCTGCAGCAGTTGTTCAAGCAGCACTTAATCTAGTGAGGAATTGCACAAGTGCTGTCCTGAAAGATGCCAAGTATCTCTGAGATGCAGATGATCCCTTTCAGTCCCCAGTCTCGGCGAGCAGGCAGTATGAGACTGGACCTGAAGCACAAAAATCCAACCATTTGGCTGCCATATGGGAAAACCACGTCTGAGAACATATCTTGGCAGCAAGCCTTGGTATAAGGAGAAAGTGCAATTTTAGTGAGCTTTTTAATTCCTCCTGCCAACTCAAAGCTGTACTGGTCAATGCGTGGATGCCCAAAATGGGAACACAACTGGCAAGTGGGCAGAAAAAATAAGAAAGGAACAGAAAGCATCATGTGTTGATTGCTAAAATTAGTGGTTTCTTTTGCTGTGGTATTTCAGGTATTATCCCGTGGAATGCTGTACCTGGCAAAGCCTGTGGTCCGATCCTGGAGAACATCTGCAACACGAATGAGGTACACAGGCATGACCCATGTGCGACTTATGCCTCCGGGTCACTTAGGCACAGCATAATAACTAACTTGGTGAAAGTTTGTGGAGGGAACTAATACTAAGAGTAGAAAGAAATTGATTTGGGCAGAATATTGAAACTACTCTGGCTCTGATCATCAAAAAAAAAAAAAAGTGTTTTCTAAACAGTTTAAGTTTTTAGAGCTTTGAACCTCTTGCTATGAAGACAGGTTTATTATCCTTATTCTTTAAAACAGCTGAAATGCATGTTATACTATCCTTAGTTATGTAAACGTTTTTAACATCTTGTTTTTTCATCTTTTTCCCCTAGTTCTACATGTCTTATCACCTGTTCATTGTGGCTTGTGCTGGAGCTGGTGCCACTGTCATAGCATTGGTGGGTAGCATTTTTTTTTTTTTTTAATTTTTTACTGTGCAATGTGTTCCTTTCAGACTTAAGATGCTTTAAGATCAAATTTTATGCATCTTAAAAATGCTGATACTAGATGTAAAAGAGGGTGAGCTATAATCACTGTTACTTTCCACTAAGCTTTGGGCATTCCGAGTCAGCAGGTCCCACACTTCTGTTTTAAGAAGTCATCTTAACTCACCTGCCCTATCCTTAGGAAAAAAAAAAATCTTTGCATGTCCTTTTAAAATCCTACTTCTACCCACTGTTGATATTTTTCTGTTCACTATTTCTTTTCATTGTTGTAGTTTATTTGATCAATAGCTTGTAACCTCTTGTTCTTTTTGTCTGGACCCAGGCAATTTGACTAGTCCAACCCTGCAATGCCAATCACAGGTAGCAGTTGGAAAAAGGGATGTTAATGACTTTTTTTTTCACGTGTCTAACACTTACTCTAGCTGCCAGCTTCTAACTTCCTATCAGCCAAATCCAGGTGTAATGGTGCCTGCTCTTAGGCAAAATAGCCTTAGGCCTGTGTGTAGATTATACTCAAGGGACAAAAGGCAAGTTAGTTACCTTGCATCTTCACCCTGGAGGAAGCTCGGAATAGCATCTGTTGTAAAAGTATCAACGGTTGCCCAAGTGGGCTTGAGCCGTCACCTTGTTTGTTTCTTACTCTCCTGTATTTTGTTCTCTTCCACCAGCTGATCTACATGATGGCTACTACATATAACTATGCTGTTTTGAAGTTTAAGAGTCGGGAAGATTGCTGCACTAAATTCTAAATTGTATAAGCCCAGTAAAGAGCTGCATTGCTGTAGCTTGAAATACCACTGACACCCTAGGCTAAAAGTCTAGCTTTCTGAATTTTGTTACAGTAATTGTAAATAGCTTCAGTAAGCCTCATTTAGCTTATCAGATTAATAAAATGACTTCTTGTATATGAACTATGATGTGGATGAGATCTGGCTATTTTTTCCTGTTGAGAGGATTCAGTTACTGTCGGACTGTTTATAAATCGTCCTTTGGAAGATGGGACTTTTTCATTTGAAGTCTCCATTTGCTTTGTAGCAGTCATCTCTAAAACAAAGACTGGAACAGTTCAGGGTCAGAATTACTCATCTATTCTTCATCCTGAATGACAACTGCAAAAAACTCTGAGCATACAAATATATATGATACAAAACAAAAAGAGTAATAAAGTCATGCCAGTCTCTTTTGGCAGAAATCAGAAGCCCCAGTATTATGAATTAGTCGGCTTGTCTTTCTGGTGCATGGATGATTAAGTTGATTATTTTCTTTTACTTCGTTTTCAAATAACTGCCAAATCATGCTCTCTCTGGAAGGAAATACATCCTTGTATTAGCTCTGCGTAAAACAATCACATTCTGGTTTTGGACCCTAAACTTGTAAAGAAATAGCATATAAATAGTTTCTGTTCTTGTATGGCTTGCACTTTAGTAACTGATTTCTCAGTAGCCAGATCTCAAAAATGTAAGTATGACTGCACGGGAAGCAAAACCATGCATAGATCATAGAGACATTTTTACACTGTTGGGGGAAAAAATAAAAAGAAGTGAATCAATATGTTCAGATGTAGATTTTTTGCATGAAGTATGGTGAAAAGATGTTGGGAAGAGATGAATTCAAAAACCAGAAAAAATCCACACAATAATAATGAAAAAAAAAGCTAATTATGATGTAAAACTTTTCACCTGAAGTTAGACAATGAGAGTTTAAAATGTAGTTATAACAATACATGATTAAGACATCTTAACCCGGAGATTGCATGCTTTTGCTTAGTTTTGGACTCATGTTTTGTTGTTTAATTTTTCAATGTGTTAATGTAGCCTTGTTCACGTAAATAAAACTGTTTACAATTTCAGGCTTTTTCCAGGGGGAGGGTGGAATTCTCATCTGCTTGTTGGGTGAAAAGAATTACCAGGATCTGGGCTTGAATATACATAAACACCACGACCTTAGAAACCAGTTCTTCTGAGCACCTCTTAGTATACATAGGATCTAAATTGCCACATACAAAAGTTTTTTTTCCCTGCTTCCCCCCATTCTGCATTTTAATTGATCCGTACAACTCTTCAGCTCATTTTATTACTGTTGTACTAACTTTCTCTAAGTTGTGAATAACCAACCTAAATATTAGCATGCAAAATTCTAGAGATCTTTGAGAATAGCCTCTGTGCTTGTTTTAATAACAGAATGCTTATTAACGTAGAATAACTTTTTTGGTCATTATTGTAAAGAGCGTCTATTAATCTAACTAGCAGCTTGCTTTGCCTCTTGACATGCTCACTAGCCATCATGCTCACCCTTCTCTTCCAGATCCACTTCCTCATGATACTGTCTTCTAACTGGGCCTACTTAAAGGATGCAAGCAAAATGCAGGCCTACCAAGATATCAAAGCAAAAGAAGAGCAGGAGCTTCAGGATATCCAGTCTCGGTCAAAAGAGCAACTCAATTCTTACACATAAATGTTTGCCACAGTAATTCAGCAGAAGAATTCTGTAGCTCTGACAAATCAACAAATAGCTGCTCTGCAGTACAGATGTGTGTCTACCAAACAAAATTATAGAGAAGTGTAAAAGCTTCACGTTCAAGCTCCTGGAACACGTTCATAGGGAAATCTTCCCATGGGTAATCTTCCATCCTTTCACGCAGAGAATGGAGGTTTTATTCCAGGCATTTTAAAAGGCAACACTTCACAATAAGTGACCAAATTATTCTACTTTGAGACGTTCAGAATTTACTATTTGACATGCAGCATGAATTCCTGCACAAAACTGTGGCAGGTGCTCCAAACCAGCAAGCAGTAGATGTTTGTACAGACCTTAGACAAAGGCACGTGTAAGATGTGTGATTTAGTATCTCAGTTTATATACCAAATGGAACTGTGGCTGGCTAAGATTTCTGATAGCCTGTGCTTATTCAGAAGCACAGTTGCAGCGTTTCATAAGTCCTAATAGGGCAGCCTTTGAACACTCTTTACATGGGCCACAGGAACAGCAATCTACTTTTGTGCCACAGTTTTTTACGATGAACAGTCACTCTCCTGTGCTTACCTGAGTGTTGAGCAGATGTCCCAAGTTTTAATCTTTTTATTAACTATTTAATGGAATGTAGATGCTTGGATCTGGATAATGATCCCCTTCTTTGAAAATAAATGTCAGCTTTGCCTTAATATTTATTTTCTATAAATGTCTTAGCATTTATATAGTGGCAGGAGACCATTATCCTTCATTTTAAGTGAAAAGTGTTACCTTATTAAAATGACACTGATGTGACTATTCCAAATGAGCAGATGACGAAGTTTGCAGAGTTTTACACAATAAAAATGACAGCCATAAAGCAGAATACAGGATGTCCACCTTTTCTCTATCTTGGTGCTTAGCAAATTTATAGTCAGTGCTTATGTGTTTTCCTTTTTACAAATTAATTAGCACATTAAGAAAACGTGGTGTTCAGAAAAAACAAACAACACAAACTGGTGCCATTTTAAAGTCATTTCCCATAGAAGTCTGCCTTCTAATTAATGTTTATTTCAGAAGCTTTCAGTGATATCTTGAGTATTAGTGATGGTATATTTGGTGTTTGTTCTATATGATATATATATATATAAATATAAATGTCGGGGGAAAAGTAAAATACATCAGTCATTTGAAAAAAATGAATATTCAAGTCATACCCATGTTAAGCTGACGTGTGGTTTGATCGTTTTGACTGTTTGCTGAATATAAGTAAGTCAAAGGAAGCACAAAACTTCTTAAGTCAGTATTAAGAGAAAAGGCATTTTGGGGGGTATTAACTTCAACTATAATTTTTCTGTTAAATATTGAAGTCTAATTTGACAGTTTAAAAAGGGGGCAAAGTTGATCCGTGTAGAGCAAATATGACAAAATAGCCTAGTGTATGTTCTTACCTGTTGCATGAAGGAGACATTTCTACAGCAATGCAGGTGATGTTCTAGCCCAGTGTTTGCATAAGGGTAATAATGGAGGCAGTGTCTTAAAGCCTAATTCTTTTCTAATTCAGTGTAGCTATTACTGGGAGTTTTTGAAGTTTTGTTTAAGTAGTCTAATATTTTTATGTAAAGAGCATTAAATTTTGCTATGTATAAATTTTTGTAACCTAACAGTGAATCAATATTTTCTATCAGTGCCAAGGGCTTCCTGTAGTTACATCCAAGTGTTAAAATAAATATTTGTAGATAATAGACAACACTTGTGTATGCTTATTTTAAAACAGACCTACAGCTACTCTATCCTAGTGCATCTCTGTTTTATATCTCTATCTGAAGTTAAACACATTCTGTTCGATATTGTCCATTTGATAATGTACTGCGAAAGGCTGCCCTGTAGGTGTATGCTTCAGCATGGTAAGTTTTTCTAGCATTAACTACTGATAGTTGTTCCAGGGCAGCATAAAGCAACAAGCACTATTCAACCCGTGCTTAACATCAGACAAAACAAATTTCTGAGGAACTTTGTAAATTCCATCTTTGCTGCAACACAAAGTTAATTTAGCAGCATGTAAAATTAGACTATCCCCTAAATATTTTGTCTTAATTTAAAAAAGAAAGTGTGTCTCATTTATGGTACACCACATTTCAATCTCCAGTGAATTCAAGAGGGAGCTTCAGTTTTGCCCCTAAATTCTGTCAAACTTGGCTTCATGTTCCTGTAGTTAGGTCAAGGTAAGCAGCCTCAAATGCAGTGCAAGTTGTACTATATGCTGCCGCCCAAAATTACTTCATTGATTAAAAAAAAAAATACTGTATTTTATACTGTAAATAAAGTTTAATGATCTTGCCTATAATTTACCTACAAAATGCAAAGCTTAAATAAAGATGAGTTAAATAGCATTTTTATTTGAATCTCTCGGTTCTGGGCTGGTTAATACTAACAAAGCATGAGAAAAGGCTGCTTTTAAAAGTGTTTCTGCTGCTGTAGCAGTAAAAGGGGCAAGTTAACGTGGTTCTGTCTCTGCTCTCTAAAAAAGCACAAGCCAGGGGTTTCTACGGGATACCTTTAAAAACATGAGATAGCCTCAGTGTAATAAAAAGTTCAGCTGTTACTTTGACTTACTGTTTGTTACATTTTGTGGGGGAGGGGAGCGGAGGAACAACATTTCAAAAGCTGTGGATGTTTCTAGGAATTCAAGGCCAAACACATCTACCTGAACATACACATTCATTTCTTTACATAGCTTTGGCCTTTCTCTCACCATGCTCCAGGGCCTCCTGCTGGAATAGTAACACATCTAGACTCAATATTGAAGTTCAGTGACTAAAGGGGTAAGACTTCAATAGCAGCCTTACTCATTTATAATTATACAACCTGCAATTCCTGTGCCTAGCATTTATTACAACTTCATTTACGGTCAGAAAGCTGTTTTAAAAACATTTTATTGTAGTTAAAAGAGAAAAACAAAACCAGTTGCTCGTGTTCACCAGAAGCTTTCATCATCGTCTCCATGAGAAATGCCTGCAGCACTGTAGTGGGGATAGGAAAGGAGAAAAAAATAGCATTAAGTCTGAAGTAGTTTCTCATATGAAGCATATGTTTGTTTCAGAGAAAGTTAGTTACACACAACTTAATAGAGTGCATCTAATCACAGGCTTTAGTCAATGACAATCCATGCTGCAGTTTTCTTGCTGTTCCAAAAGCAAGCCTTTAAGAGCGAGGATTTGGGCCACCTCATCCATCAAACAGCATTACTATCTACTACTTTGGTAGCACAAAAGAACACTGCACAGATATAATTCAGGAGTGCCAGCATAGGGTCTGGTGTGTAAAACAGCACTTGAAAGGGACAGATAACACTGAATCATTACTAGCTACAGTGCGAGTCACTTTTAATCAGCTCTATATTTTTTGCTTAGATATATTTTCAATTCTACATCTTCAGATAAACTGAAAGATTTGATTGATAGAGATATTTTCCCCCCATCAAGAAACTAAATGTGACATACCCTTATTTATTGATCTCTAGAGATAACCACAGGCAATGCCCTAGCTGTGGAACTCTATCAGGCTGCCAAAAACCCCTGAAATAAGATGTGTGAACTAGTTTGTTAAAAGTCCGTGATGCTACTAATAAATCAAAGCTAGATTCAATTCAAATAACAGACTGTATACAAGGTACAGCACAGACAACCCTTCACAGAATCATTACTGAGGAGGAATTTGTTGTGTTTCAGCTCACCATGAAGGAACTGAGATGCTGCTCCATTGCAGATAAAAATTTTAATTGTGAAAGCTATGGAAACAGATCATCAAATATAGTTCCTAGATCCTAATTCAATATTGTGCCTAACTTACCTGTATAAGAATTGGGAGGCTCATCAATTATTCCAGCGTATTTACTTTTTATTACTAAATTTTAAAATTTATTTTGCTTTTTAAGAGGCAAATGTCTCTTAACCATAATTCATGCTGTAAGTATTAATTAGTAGGAAGTAATAGAAGTCTTTTGTAGTAATGTATGAGCCTTACCTGTCATCTTTTTCACTAGATGTAATTCCCTCTATGAGTGATATTTCTTTTATTTCTTCTTTTTTTGAATCCTGGCAGCCAAGAGGAAGGACCAGTTACAGAAAGTGTATTTTAAGTCAAGGTTTAAGTGACTCTAACACCTAATAATTTTTGAAAATAAATATCTTCTGAAAGAGCCAGCCTATTTCTAGAAATGAAGCACTTCATCTAGAATAATGAAGCTTTGGAAAAATGGGTTTGGACAATGCCTGAATAAAACTATGCTGCAGTCTGTCATCAAAGTAATGTTCACACATGTAATTGTTCGTTAAGGTCAAATTTTCCATCCTGCCAGATTATATTCTATCAACTTCATCAGTTGTGTTACTGGAACACAAATCAACCTGTATAGATTAAAACTGATGTATTTTAATTAGGATCTCAAAATACTATAAACGCGGACTACTAAAAAAAATGAGGACATATTTCTGTTTAAATACTGTCAGAGTACCTAACGAAAAATAAACAAACAAAAACCCCCACACATTTGAATCAACACATTTCTGCAATACAAATCCAAACACTCATTTCTGCAAGTTGTTACGTTAAAGGCTCTTAATGGAAAAAAAAAATAAAAGAGATTATTATTTTCATTGTAAGCATAGTTAGCAAGACACCAATTCAAACAATCTTTTGGGAGGCCCAGTTTTGAGAATAATCACCTTGTGTGCCAGTTCCTGCTCTCCCTGCTCTCTTCTCTGCTGAATTATTTTCACGTATTTTTCTAATGGATTTGGAGCAGAATCCTTTACAATATCTTCAGCAGCAGAATTACCATTTTCCAACTTTTCTCCCTCTTCTTTTTCTTCATCTATTTTCATTGAATCTTGGATCCACTTTAAAACAAAAAAAATCAAAATTAAATACCGATCAGATCAATGAAACTGCCTTTATACCTAAATACTTGCAGGATGTAACATTAAACTTGGCAAAATATGCCAGTGTAAACAGTATTAAACTTGTTACATGTGGTTCAAGATGAAATGTTAAGTTATCACTTGAATTCAGGAGTGTCATGCCAAAGAAATCCAATCAGTTTGTATGCCTGAAATGCCATGAGGACTGAAATCCTGGTTTCTGCATATGGCTAGATCTACACGTGAATTGAAGATGAGCTAATACAGGTATGCAAGTTTCTTGAATGGCCTCGTTTGCTAGTGTGAAGGGCAGCATGATCAGTACCACAGAACTGAATTGAATTAAACAAGGTTTAAGTGTGGGAAGAGGAAGAAGAAAGGGGAGAGAAGAAAACCCAAATTTTATACAGTACACAAAAATCCCGAACATTATTTCAACATGTGCTACACCAGCTCAAATGGTTTTAAACAAACTCCATAGAGTCTCCTTGTAACTTCTGCTCAAAAAACAAACAAACAAACAAAAACAAACAAACAAAAAAACCCACCACCCTAAATACTATCATAAAAGCTAATGAACAGGTGGACATTAACATTTTCTGGTGATGTCGCACTCACAGCAGTCCAGACCAGAGCAAATGTATAGCTTGTTCCAATAGCCTGGTAACATCTGCATTTTAACTTCTTAACATAAAACTGTAGCTTCCAGTTACATGAAGCATGGAATAAAAAGCATCCATTTCCAGGGAAAAAGTTACTTGGCATAAGAGGAAGTTCTAGCAAGACTCTTTGGTTAATCATACAAGTGCTTAAAATAACTTAGCCTTTACTACTTTCACCTAAAAAAAGCATAAAATCTATTTTTAACCAACATCTATTTTAACACACAGCAATCCTAAACTAATATCACACTCTGAAGCTACATTACTGTCAGAAATTAAAATACTAAATCACCGTCTCTTTCTCAAGCTGTTCCACTTCGCTTTGCTCTCTCTCCAAAGCCTCCACTTGTTCTCTCTCTCTCCTTTCTTCTCTGGTTCTCCTTTCCTCTTCACAGTTTTTGTCTTCTTTACTTTGTTCTTCAACATGTCTTTGATCCAACACAGCTGTGAAAAATTATTTCAACATCTATGACATAATTTATAGATACTTCAGTAATCTACTATGGTAGCATACAAATAAGTAACAGCTTCCTGTATAACATTGAAAGGAAATGAAAAACAACTGGAAATATATATACATATAATACATATACTGGTGTTTTTCTTATGTATCTGGCAATGTTTCTTTCCACCTCAGTACATTTCAGTCTGGTATATGACTGCCTAAGAGTTGAACTCTAGAGACAAAGTAGAGTCCAGGGAATTGACAAATCTCTCTGCATTTCTTATTTCCAGCACAAACTTTCTCATGAAGTCTATTATGTTTAAATTCATGTTGCTATATTTTTTTCTCTCTAAATAAGAATTATCTACTATACAGAGCAAAGTAGAAAAGCCACACACACTGCACTGAAATCATTCTCATCTATCCAAAGAATTAAATCAGCATTGTGACAATGCAGTTTACAAACTGAATCAACCAGTCAATCAATCAATAAATAAATAAAAGCCAGGCATGCAGTATAGAAAATGCTTCAAAATAAAAACTTTCAGGTCTTACTTCTATCAAGAACAGAGGCAATGTTTAATTATCATTTTAAAGAAGGGGAAAAGAAACATCAGAATCTTCCCTCCAGAGGCTGGGTGAAGAGCTAGGGCCAGGGTGGGGGGTGGGAGAAGCATTATTAAAAGTCTTTAAATTAAAAACACATTTAAACAAAACTGGGGTGAAAAAGTCATCCTCGTGCATTAAAGCAAAAGAAAACATTCTCTTTTCTTAATTACATAATTACCACTTTTGGAAAAAGTTTTCATTCACTTTGGTGTATATACCTACAGAATGTTAAATATTTGGGGTTTTGTTTTACACATGTGACATCTAAAAAGAGCATTCACTTTTGTTTCTGAGCTGAAAACTCACTCAAGTCCTGCAGCGAAGTGGCTGTTGCTCGCATAGTGGTTGTGACATGGTTTTCATTGACAATGTCCCCAGATGGATGCAAGACATCACTTTCACACTGCTCTGGAATGTCCCCCTGATCTGGAGAAGAAATTTGAACAATGGCTTCATTATTTTGTAATTACAATAGTGGAGCAAAGGAATGGACACAAAGTGTGGGAATGGCTGAATTAGAACTCATAAATATAAGCACTAATTGAGCATTTTCCTTCCAACTTGACCATTTCCCTGAGGATGAAGAATCACAGGCTGTGCTTGCTTCTTTAATTACAGAATTGTTAGTTTTTAAATTAGCTATTGGAACACATCTGTTTAAAGAGCCAAAAGAGAATCATGAATAAATATACAATAGAAAACCAAATGTTTTCATTTCTTTACATAATCACGATAAAGATCACAGAAAAATTACATGTCCAAGCTTAACTCATCCCTTTCATGCACATAAAACAACCTTTAAATTACTTGATCACACACTATTTCTTTGTTAGGATCCTTGCCCTCTTCAGTGCACAGGATGGATACCTCTAAATCAAATATTCTACACTGTATTTTCATCTGTGCAACCACGGCTCTGAATTTTTAAAAAATAAATAATACTGTACTTCCTCTGTGATCATCACTATTACACTCAACTGCTTCTTAATGATTTATGTGCAAACTATGCAAACTGCTGTTAACCCAGTGTTATGGAAGAAAGCAGAAGGAGATGAGAAGTCAAATGCAGACATTAGAGTTTTAGGCAGCCAACGCAAAATACACAGAACCATTTTCCAGACAGGTAGTGTAAAATAGAACAGATACTTTATGCATCTCCTTCAGTTTTGAGTAAACATTTAAGAATACAAATTCCCCATCCTTCAAATATTATCTAGGCTTCCAGCATTTCTCTTTCTATTCTGTAATAAAAACTGAAATATTTTGTATGGTGATAAACAAGACACCCAGACTAACCAGTCTCTCTCTCAGAATGATCCAAATCCCTTCGATTCAAATTCTTTTAAAGGAATTTCAGATGAAGTTATCATAGAGAAGTTATGCCAAACTACCAATCTAGCAGTTAGGAGGAAGTTTTCAGTTTCTTACAATAGCAGCAAGAAGTCTTACCAGGTTGCCTAGGCAAATAAATTTTACGTATGTTTTATATAAGACCAAAATAATGGGTTATCATGCTTAAAAGACAACTTTCCTTTTTTTCTCTCTTTCCCCTTTATTTATGTTTAAATTATAAGGTTTTCAACACCAAAATTATTTCCATATGAAGCATGAATATGTTTCAAGGCATACATGTATGTAACATTTAAACAGTCAAAAAATTCCTACCACAAGTAGGTTCCTGTTAAATATTATATCTAACTTCTAAAAGCCTGTCAACCACACAAACAGGAAAACCAAATAAACAAAACAATATAGTGAGAACCATTTTTACATTTACCATTTTGCAAAGTAAAAAGAAAAAAAGGAAACACTTCATACACCTTCATTTCTTTACATAAGGGTGGACAGCAAGAGATGCATTATATCCTTAATATGAACACGTAACTAAAAGCAATAACTGCCAACAGAAATCCCAATCTTTTCTTGCTAGAGCTCACTCAGTAGGATTTAAAGACTCTCCATATTTTCTGGTATCTCCCATACACCATATTCTGTGGTATCTCCTTCCCTCCATTGTTTTTTCCAGTGTCATCAACCTTTCTCCTTCTCTCGTTCCTTCATTATACTCTATATACTTAGATTTTACATTCTTCTCCTCCCCCTAATTTCTCCTGCGTTATCTTCTCCCCATTTTAGCCATTCTGATTTCCTTCTACATAATGAGAATGTGGTTTTTTTGATGCAGTCTGAATCAAGTAAAGTACTGCTAATTTAGAAATCATTGGTATATGCAATCTCTTACAGTTATTACTTCTGACTACAGCATGTCAGTAAATGATACAGTGGTAAGCTATTTGAGCACAGCAGCTACTCAGGCCTAACTGCCAAGAAAATGCCAATCTATTCATATGTGTGAGAAAGCAAAATTGAAATATTTAATGTGTTCCTAAAAGTCTCTAATGTGAAAGTCAACAAATGAATCAAAATCCAATCAAAATATGAGATTAGTAGAAACCATTAGTGGTTACAGGCTTGGTTCACATTAAAATAATGCATTTGAAGCTCATAAAAAGAGTACTGAATGAGGTAAATTAAAATAAAAATGTACTGAGTAAAACTTCAAGGAGAAATGCATAGATCAGTCATCAGCTTCCACTAGTTATCGCTGAAGAGTAACAAACAGCACATTCGCTGTGTACACAAACAATAGCTTTCTTGTTTGGTGGGTTTGTTTTTAAAATACTGACTGCTGCATTCTCACGGGTTCGGGAGAGTGAGCAGGGGCATCGCTTCATCTTCCATATGACCGAACTGCACCCAAAGGAACAAGCCAGTCACAGACTCAGGAAAACACTCACCAGTTCGCAGTATTTTTTTCAAACTCAGTTGTTCTCTCTCCCATATAATAATCAGCGCCTCACCAACTGTGAATTCATGAATGATGTATGACCCCTCTCTCTGTCAGTCTCAAGAGTTTACAGACGTAACAAAATTTGGATATGAGAAAGGTTTTAAAGCATGCTGTTCACATCCTTCTCATTGATAACTCCACTTACTTTAAACCCACAGTTTCATGAGAGATAAAGCTGCTCAGGCCTACCATTAATGGTTTATTCAAATGCTGAAAAACGAGGAAATAAAGCCAATAACTTTCCATTTCTGTCTTCTATAAAGTACATAAACTTTTATAATCCTCTTCTTTACAGTACCTTACTTACATGCAAAATTTTCTAAAACTGACTCTGCATGCCTAACTCCAGCATACAAAAAAAAAAAAAAGGAAATATCTCTGTAGCACACAAAATAAAACACAACATAATGCCAGAATTCCTCAGGCAATTTAGACCAAGAAATGTAAATAAATAAAATACTCTGAGATGGAAAAAAAAAAAAAAAAAGATACATTCACATTTCAGTAACTTAACCATACATTCCAAGTGCACTCTAAGATACTCTGAAGTAACCTCTAACTTGTAACACTACTTAATCCTTGGTTACAGAAGGAAAAATCAACAAAAGTACTAATTGCTGCAGAAATTTATCTTCACAGCTACAGCTTGGTAACGCTGCTCTGGTATTGGTCCATCAAAAACACTCCTTGTGATTTTATTTCATGCAGCAAATACATGTATAATAGGGCCTCGGGTTAGTTCATATACTTGTACACTTTGCTTTAAAAAGAAAAAAAAATCCTACAGCATTTTAAAACGTTCTGAAGCAACTGTCAGACCTACATGCATTAATCAGAACAAGGTTATGCAAGACTTCTGAACAAAAAGTATGTTCCCAAATTTCAGAACCAAATGGATTTTAGTGTCTACTTATTTCTCCATATCCTTCTCCTCTAAAGATGCAAATATGAAGAAAAATAATCTTTCATCACCTGAGACAGTTTCTTTCTTCTTATTTTCTTCAATTATAGCCTTATCCTGTCAAGACAATTATCTTCCAACTGTTAATCCAAATGTGTCAAATAAACCATTTAAAATGCACTAAAGCTTACATTCAAGTGAAGAAACGTGTTCTTCAAGGTCCTCATATAGTAGCTTCTCTGGTTTGGGGTTACTGCTGAAATCTTGGTTATCTATTTGTTGATTCTGAAGTCTGGAAGACAAAGGAAGAGAGTAAATAATTTGAATAAATACAAACACTAAATCATTTAGGCAAATAGCTGCCAGAGATTTAAATACAAGGCTTACTCACATGCACAGCAACAAACTAAACCTAATGTAAAACCCATACAAGTACAATGTTACAACTTCCTGCCTCCAAAGTCAAGGTATTTAAATACAGTTCTCTAACTTTTACCAAATGACAGCTCTATCACTCTGATAAGGTGCTGCCCCTGCAGCCTTTCCCCAAGGCCTATGTGTGACATAAAGCTATTAGATTAAAACAATATACACACTCAAAAGGCATTTAGAGGAATAAGGAAAAATAAATAAATAAAAAGAAAAAAAACGAGAAATACAACAAAGTGTGACACACAGTCAACTGAAATTTTTTAAATTGCTTTTTTTGGCTCTGTGTTAATCTAATTCCCCCTTTCATGTCACTTTAACAGATGTGTTTGAAATGTATTAGGATTAGGTGTCTGGCAAAACATATATTCAGGGGTGAAAATCTGGGTTCTATGAAAAATGGGGTTAGTGCCCTCATTCTAAATCCCCGTTTATCTAATCAGAAAGATGATGTGAAAGAACAATATCAACCATGTGACCTTGCTACTAAACTGTGACCAGAATCAGAATAGAAAAATAGTACAGGTCACGAATTCATCAGCAGCTCTTTATAAAGGAGCTTACTTCACACCAGCTGTTGCTGGTGTATATTGTTCCATAAATATGTTTGTGTTTATAATTTCTAAGCAATTCAAGACATCCATGTGGGCGAAAACAGAGAAAAAACAAAAACAAAAAGACATACCCCAATAATGAGGCATGTTCAATAAAAACAGCAAGTTTGGGAAAAAAAAAATAGATCTGCATTTTCAGAAGGATGGTTCGATAACATCAGTGGCAAAAAAACATCCTGTAAGTTTAACATGGCAAAGTAGGTGGAACTCCAGGTTTTTGGAAGTCCATGTTTTTAGTCTCAAGAACATGCATGCCAAATTCTTCAATGCTGTATCCTGTAACACTGCTAGGAAGACACTCAGTACACTGCCGTGGATTTAGCAAAGAGAGGAAGAGCCCTGCATCATTAAGTCCATCACACACGTGTACTTCCAAGCAATTTTCCAAATTTGTTTTGTCAGAGTTGAGGACAAAACCCTGGACAGTACCTTACATCAATGCTCCATAAAACAATATTGATGTGCCAATCAATGCCAAATAAATAGCAAGAGTTATACTTAAAGTGACTGTGAGAGTCAAAAAACGACCTCTACTATTTTATTAATGTCTAAAATTAACTTTTTAGCCTAAAGCTGGTAACAACCTTCACAATCAGCTTCTTCAGCCCCACATGAAAAAGGAATGGTTTAGATAATAATCTGCCTTCCTAACTCTAGTCTTCCTGTCTGTATTTATTGGCTTCCCTCATACCACTCATATTTTCAAACACAAATAAACAAGGATCTCCTAGTCACAGAAGCAATTGTTGTTCCCCACTGACAGAGGCCTAGCTTAATGGCTTACTGGTGTTACAACATCTTCTTTTCTTTCCTTTTCACATAAATTCCCATTGCCAATTAAAATCTGCAGGTCATAAACTAATCCCACAATGCACATCAATGATGTGGCATTTGCTAATAATGAGAGTAAATAACTGGAAAAGCCCACACATGCATTTCTCAAATATTTTGTGCAAGAAAAAACAGTCCAAGGCACAAGAAATTCCAAAATGCTCAACAAAAGAATGTTTTCCCTTTTAAGAAAGTCTTGGGAAAGCAGCAAGTCCAAGCAAGCTATTGGGACTATATATCCTTGCTTTGTCAAGAGGAACTCAGGAAAGCAACTACCACCCGTAGTCCCTGGCCTGTTCTCTGTAGCACAACTTGCTCATACTGCTTACTGTTCCCACAGCATATTTATTCCCTTTTGTAAAGCTCAGACTACACAACATCCTACCAAGAAGTATGCTCCCTCACAGCACTGAAGCATTTTCCCAAATACCTTAACATGCAGGTTAACACAACCTTCAGTTTGTAAGTTCTGTCATAACACAGCAAATCTGATGCATACTGTAGAAATGGGAACAAATAGACAAAGAAAACAGCCACTTAAAGCCAGACACCAAGCTAAGGCAGAACTAATCTCATAGTTTCTAGAAAACCCAACAGCTTCTTTTCAAGGCCAAGAACTTAAAGGCTCTCCCCAGATTTTAATGATAGCAGAGATCCTCTCTACATTAAATGTGCATTAAGGACTGGAGAGCAAGAAAATAAAGCCCTGTGAATGCCTGATAGAGCTGCCCAAAACAAACCATCTTTCTTCAACCATCACACCTAGAATGATGGCTAGCAGGTTAAGACTGATTCAAGTGTCTTTTCCTAGGAAAAAAACACATTATATATGAAACACTCAAGCTTTTTCTGAAGACATCTATTCAAGATTCTCAGTCTTGGAGAGTGAAAGCAATAGTAACCATTGATAACAGAATAATTTCATACATGGAAATAGGAGATACAGTGAGCAAAGAGAAGATACTTTTGTGCAGCTTACTTTTTTGGAGTTATTCATTTTCTCAGCATAGATGTTAAAACGCATAGTTAATAAGAAAAGCTCTGCTACCTATCTCCTTTCCACATGCAAGGGAGACTGTAGATTTCTATTCTGAAAGAAGTTATACAGGCAAAGGAACATACTTTTCAGAGAAAAAACATTAGCATTGCAACTTGCTACTGAAGTGAAAATGTACAGCTGTCTTGATTTACATTCTTAAACAAGCATCAGAAACTACTGAGTTTCAATCAGCAAAGGAAAGGTCACTGATGTGAAAAGCAGAGACACAATGGAAGAGAACAAGAATTGCTCAATGAATTAGTGGTGGTAGGTTTTTGTTGTTGTTGGTTTTTATTATTATTATTAAATGTTTTTGTGTGTATCAGATATAACGTCGACAGCTTTTGGACATCAAGCATATGCAAAAAGACTGCTTTGATATGGGATAGATGAGAGATTATCACTACTTTGGACAGGAATTTGTGATGAGTTTGTCATTGAAAAAATAATTTCAAGTCATTGAAACATGAAGTTTACCCCTCTCAAGTCTCAACATTGTTTTCTGAAATGAAGTTTGTTCTCAAGTCAGTCCACAACTTCAGCAGGACTTCTCACTAGTCTTATCAGGATCATATATATATACGGATGACACAGAAGCCTACTGGAAGAATCAAAACTGCTAAATCCCAATAGAGCTCATGAAAGCAAACTGCTAAAAGTACGTTCACATTGAGTTAATTCACAAAAGGGCAAAGACATACCATGTGATAAGTCATTGGCCACTTCACATTTCCCATTTGCAGCATGTTACAGGCAGATGGTCCACAGTCACTGGACACCAAGATATACCTCAAAGAGCTTGATAGTGAAGGTCCTTACCTGCCAGGCTGAACTGAACCTACCCATAAAGATTACCACGTCTAAAGTCACACACACACATTCCTCTCACATTTAAAAAATAAAATTTCTTATTAATCAAGAGTTTTCAGAGCTCTTATGCAGAATTTAACAACTGACTTGCATGCCACAGATTTACTTTTAGAAAGCACGCTTTCCAAAATTAGTGATTAACTGAATATTAATTTGTAAGCAACAAAACTTTCATTCAGATGTCTGAATGTGATCTGCTGCGTAAGACTGAAGGTCTAACTGACATAACAAATTTCAAGCACTGCACAACTTGCAGCACTCTTGAAATACAAGGATCTGCACCACACCTTGCTTAAGGTAACAGCATCCAATGGTTTCAAAAGTTCTTCAGAACACTGACACATGAAAAGTTTTACATGGAAAAAAGGGAAAGGGATTAGAAATGGGAGAAAATATTCTAAAGACGAAAATCCTTACCCTTCTTTAGAACAGTTTTAACTTATAGAATCATGGCTTAGTTGAGTTATTAAAAGAGCTATCACCATGAACAGATGTATGTTGTTATTGTTGTTTTTTTAATAATAAAAATGTTGCTTTGTAAATGACATTACCTGATTTTCTCTCTGTGACTGGATGGTGAGGAAGAAACAGACTCAGAACATGAAAGGATGTGTGGCTTTGAAATAGGAGAAAGCACCTGGTCAACACTATGCTCGGAAGAGGCAAGGTACAAGTCACTGGCTTCTGCAGAACAAAAAAACATAGTTTATATTAGTCAGTATTTATCCTACTACTCAGATAAGACTGGTTTTCACAACATGTGCATAATTGCACTATGCACACACTGCCACTGTAGGGAACTTAACATCCAGACCTATACAGCTAAATATGAATTTTCTTGTACTGGTTATTTCCAACAGGGTAGGACCTGGTATGAAAACAGCACATTTGTTCAAACAGCAGACCCTGTTATTTCAAATCTGCTGGTGACTCACATATAAAGAGAATTAAAAAATATATATTAAAAAGTAAGAATTTAACAGAAGCCAGATGAAGCAGTCCTCATGCCACATGTGCATATGCAACTAAAATAGCTACATGAAAAGAGAAGAATATAGATAATTAATTGTAATTACCTAGTTTTAATAATGTCCCAAAGTAGTTATACTGAATATCAGCTTTTAAAAGAATCTCTGCATATCATAGGATTACACTTGTTGCAATAATATGGAATAGTCGCCTCTTTAATGCTACCTGAATTAAGTGCAGTATGTGCTTAATATACTTCCTCAGTGACTGTTTCCACAAAGAACTGATACTCCTAACAGCTAGAACACTTTGTCTCTGACTTTCTCTGACATCAGACAGCACGTCTTTATTCTGAGAGTGAACAAGCACTGGCACTGGTTGCATGGAGAGGCTGTGGATTCTCCCTCCTTGGAAATCTCCAAAAGCTGCCTGGGTCTGGCCCTGGGCAGCCTGCTCTGGGTGTCCCTGCTTGGGCAGGGCTCGGAGCAGGTGAGCCCAGAGGGCCCTGCCAGCCTCAGCTTTGCTGTGATTCTGCAATTTTCCTGCCCCCTAGCAAATAATGAATGAGGGAAAGACTATCCCTGCTAAATCTTACTGTTCCAGTCATGCAAGAGGAACAATAAGCACAACTCCAAAAACGTCCCATATTAGCTATCATAACTTACCATCTGAAAGTTTCTTATTACTAAGAACTCTTTCCAATTTGGAAACAGGAGTAGAAGAAAGGCATCTTGAAGAAGGTATTCCCTTGTGTGGTGGCGTTGAAGGATTTTTAAAGCCCTCAGGCTGCCCATTTCTTCCAATGTATTTTTCACCTCTTGGGCTGCTCACAGGGGAATGCTGGGAGCTAGGATTATCCTCTAAAAGTTCATGCTGTGTAGTCAAGGGGGCTTTACCAACAGCACACTGTAGAAGTAAAGGGGACTGCATCTTTCTCGGCGTTCTGCTTGCAGCTGTATCCTGCATTACTCTGCGTTGGTAGTTTCTGTAGGCTTCTTCCAAATACTCTGCCTCTTTTTCTAGTTCCTTTATTCTAGCCCGGGTTTGTGCCATACACTCCAGGTCAGAATCTGGAGAAGCGCTGCGCGTCTGCAACTGCTGATGGTAGCCAACTCTTGGCACAGCATTTCCCTTCACGACATCACTCATAACGGGATTCTTCAGGAACGTGCTGTCCACATAAATATCATGAGGTACAATTCTATCATCAAGGAAGTCAATGACAGAACGATCAACAAGGGAAGGCTTGGGGTTCCGATACACTTCATTTTCCAAAGCTAAATGACCAAGAACATGAGTGACAGTTAAGACAGAGACTGAACAGAAATAATAAAATGTGGCATTTGAATTCTTATTTGATCAAAATGATTTTAACCTGCAATTTATTTAAATTTTGAGAGTTTAATGTATTGGTTTAAATGTGTATTTTTATGTAGTTGCATAGCTGCAAGTTATCATTGACATTAATTAATTGTATATATAATTATTTCATGTAAAAACCTACCTGAAAAATACAGGCTTACTAAAAAATCTAACACTGTTCTTTCTTAAATCACATTTAAAAGAATAATAAAAATGCCACCACCCTGGACACATTATATCCAATCATGTTGTTAATGGGTGATGGACACCATTTAACAAGGGCAGGCCAAAAGTCCGCTTCTATTTAGATCAAAAAGAACTTGGGAAAAAGTAACGTAGCATAAATGTAATAACGTAATGTTTTGGTTTTTTACTATTATTATTATTTTATTTTATAAGTATTCCTCAAAAATTATCAGTTAAATGGAAATTTTGGGGGCTTTCTGCTGCCTGGTTTGCACTTGTTTTTTTTTGAAAGCAAAAGACCCATCTACAGGTCTGCATCTTTTTTGCAAAATGACCACGTAATTTTCATTTTACCTAAATGGTTTCTTCAATGACATCCTTAACTCTGCTGCAAAAAGAATGTCCATGCAATACTTTGTCACTAACTTTTAATATATTTGCTGTTTTGATACTGATGAATTTCCAATTCCAAATGGTACTGAGAGTAATAACACATATGAAGATATATACATATTGGTCTAAACAATCATATAAAGTATTGCATACACTGAACTACAGTGCAACATGCAATGTATTTAATGTATAATCATTGCAGAATTCAATTCCATATTTTAAAATAAAAGATATGTACCAAAACTTAAATTTATCATACTTGATATGAATTTCACAGGCACCTTTAGAACTCCACTTCTTCAGCAGACTGAATTGCTCTACAAAGCACCTTTTTCTTCTTAATGTCTATGCAAGGTGCTTAAGTTATTAGCTTTGATAACAGCTGTTTAAAAGTTAGATTTAGAATTGTGAGATATGCAATACAATTTCAAACTGATTAGTTTTATTATGAACACTCAACAATCAAAATGCATTAAAACACAACTCACCCCCCTGGAAAAATGTGATTAGGATATCACTAAACTTTAATGTCTTTACGCTGAGCAAAAATATGGACAATAAATAAAAATGCAAGTGTTTATCACTACGGTGAGAAGCGCTTTGTATGTATAAGTATATATATATATACACAAATGATCAGGGAGGAACACTTTCCCTTCCTCTTATATGCTTGCTTTCTGAAAGAAAGGAAAGTTGTAATCAGGCTGCATTTTAAACTGGTCTTTTAAATCGATTTTGATTTTAAACTTGAAATGTTTAAATGTTTAAAACTTTAAATCACTCAATGGTGGCATATTACTTCAATGCAACTCTAGCTCTTGTAAGCATCTAGAAGTTCTTATCCTGGTTAGGTATGTGAACTTCATAAAGGACTTCTTTGGTATAAGACACAAACCTGCCTGTGTTTGTTTCAACTGTAGTTTCAGTTCTTCAACCTGCACATTTAACTTCCTGACAGTAGCTTCAGAGTCCAACAGTTGGGTCTTTAACTGGGCAGCACGCTCAACCTGAAGAAGACCAGAGGAAACAAAAATATAATTCAAATAAATAGAATAACCTGAACTGTTTGAATACTTGTGGCCTTCTAATTGTTTTTCAGGTCCAGCAAAACCATATAGATACATAGTATCCCACAGAAAGCCAGAGCTGACAACTTAGTGGCTTAGAAAGATTTACTTTGGTTGGTTATTTTATTGTGGGTGTTGTGTTTTTTGTTGTTGTTGTTGTTTTTTGATTGCTTTTCTAGGTTGTTTACATAAAAATAAGCAGAGTACAAACCATTCCCATCACTACATGCAGAACAGCCTTCACAGGTACACAGATAAACGTTAACAACATGACAAGAAGAAGAAAGAACTCAAATTATTAATAAAGAATCATTTACCTCACTTTGTAGCTGCTTTTCCAAAAACTGCTTATCACTTTCAAATTCATCTAGTGCCAGCCTCCTGGAACGTTCTACCCTCCTCAGCTCTGCCTGGCAGGCCAGGTGCTCCACTGAGGGCTGGGACAGTTCTTTCCAAAAAGAGAAATACCAGACAGTCAGACAGAGAACGACAAGCCTGCACTTTTCTAGAAGATACACCTTTCAAACTTAAAGACGATTTATTTTCAAGCACATAGCAATGTCTTTTAGAACTAGGCTTTGTTTGAATAAAGTACCTGGGGATTATTTTTTTCCTTTTTACAAAGGACCGAAGTTTTTTTTAGCATAGTTGCTTAAGGACTAGACACAGATTTTCCTATTATGGAAGAAAAATACACATTCCTACCTAACTGGGTATATACATCTCTATTCTCTAGTAATCTTGGATGCACATTAAAAATGTACGTCACTTGTTAACTGCAGTCACTTGAGTCCTTAAGAAAAAAAAAGTAATGTTCCTTTTGCCATTACTAAGCATGCTAACACTACTGTTGGAAATACTTTTCTTCTTTTTTCAAAAGATAAAAGGGATATTCCTTGTGTTATTATTACAGCTACCACTTTGTTTGGGATTTCTATTATATAGACATAGTGAAGAAAAAATAACTTCAAGGACTTTGATTCATTTTACACTAACATTATTTGGGGTTCAGTGAAAATCACTAGTAAACATAATACAAAGAATGTATTTTAGTGAAGATTCATTTCTAAAGAAATACTTGTACAGAAACGCAAACAAGAAAATTACTAAATTATTCACACTCACTGTCTCGAAGATGCTGGTTCTCACTGCGAGTCTCATCCAGCTGTTGCCTAAGTAGTTTATTCTGCACTTGGAGCTCCAGTTTCTCCTCCTTTAGCAAAGGATAGTCTGACACCTCTTTCAGTTTTTCTGTCAACAGCTGATTCTGTTTATTTACCAGCAGAACCTGAGCTTTCACTGACTCCAAATCCAGCTGCAGAAAAAGAACAGTTTAGAAGCTTATGAAGATGTTTCTCAAGAAAAACTCTCACTTACTTACTTTTAATACTACTTAACAGTGAATTTTAATTCACTTTTTCTTTTATTTTTTTTAACGTAATTCAAATGCACTCATTACAATAAAGCTTCTCTAAATTCATGCTTACAATTACCTCAAGCTCTTTTGTGCGCGATACAGCTTGCTTGAGTTCCTCCTTTTTTGAATTAATAGCAACGGCTTCTTCATGCAAAAGCATAGCCTTCTCTGAAGGGAGAATTACAAATGCTGAATTAAATTAAAATTATATTGAAAAACTGAGTCAGAAAAAAAAAATAGTTCAAGGTGCTGTCCAACATTCAGTTTAATTCAATGCTTAAAAATGACTGAATGTCATGTATGTTTCCACACACCTTCAAAATCAAGTAAATCCCTGTGTGTGCGTAAATATATGCATGTGTACTACTTCAGAATTAGTTAAATCAAATTCATACACACAATACATGATTTCTTTCGCATGATCCTAACTTAGAAGTCTAAATATGCTATCTGTCCCAGCTCTCTTCTCAAGCTTCACTTAAACATCTTGTGCATAATAAATGTACAAACTGGCAACAATTCAACCAGAGTGTACCAGAGTTCAATTACAGAATGAATGAGCTGCTAGAACTTCAGAGGAATCTGGGAAGCTGAAGAAGCAGGAGACCTTGCAGCTTTCATGTGAAGCACCAGCTCATGGTTCCCACTGTATATTAAACTGTTAAACTGCAAGGAGTTGCTGATCTGCCATCGGATGCTGCTACATATTTTTCAAAGCCTAGGTTAATGACTTTTTTGCCACTTATGCCAGCATTACTGAACACTGTTACTCTTTAGTAACAAGTGTTTTGATCCTAGGTAGTAAATGCTGTAAACAGCTACTTTATTAAATTCAGAGAGATGGTTACCTTTATTTTTTTTCTCATCTTCAGTAACTTTATTACTTCTGGATATGTATTCTTCTTTTAATTCAAGCTGATATCTAGAAGTAAAAAGAATTATGTGCCCAAAGTACTTGTGTATACATGCACGTATGCTTCTGTAAATTCTAGTCTTTGCCAAAACTAAGCTATAATCACACAATTATTTGCTGATAAAATCAGTTAGGACAGTCATGTAAACAGCTGGAAAGGGTCCTGCCAGTCACTTTTTTCAACCACCTGCTCAAAAAGCAAGTCAATCACCAACATCAAACCTGGTGAGCCATGTTTTGTCCTCAATAACTCTTGAAAACTTCAAAGGATGTAGAATCCACCACCTCCCTGGGTGACCTGTGGTAATGCTGCACTACCCTCTCAGTAAAATAAAAATTTCTCTATGTCCAACCTGAAACTCTCAAGCCACAGTTTATTGGCCCAGTCCTGTTACATTGTCTGGCATTTGCATGCTACAAAATAATTGAAAAACAGCTATAAAAATGAGTGGAAAAAATCAAGCAGCTGTGGGGTACTTCCAGATCATCTAGGCTCACCTGCAACAGGCTAAAGAAGCTGCACTCCCTCAAATTGTCCTCATAGGTCACATCTGGTAGTCAAATAAGGGTCTTGACAGACCCTTACCAGGCACTCTCCAGTTTCTCCACAACTGTATTGAACTGAGAAGACTAAAGCTCAACATAGTATTAATTCCTAGTGCAGCCTTCACCGGTAGCTTAAGGGGACAATAACTCCCCTCAGTCTGTTGGCTGTGCTGCTGCTAATGTCACCCATCATGTGGTTTGCCTGATTTGCCAGAGCATGCGGGTGGATCACAGTCAGCCTGGCACTCACTGTAAATCCTGTGTCCTTTTCTGAAAGGCAGCTGCTCAGTCCATTCCTTTTCCCCACCTGCACCACTGCGGAAGGATACTCTGTGCCGAGTGCTGAGCTTTGTGGTTCTCCTTGTTAAAATTCCTGAGATGTACGTTGGCACAATCCCCAAGCTTATCAAAGTCTGTCCGCATTGAAACGCTGCCATTTGTTGTGGCAGCCATTCTCCTTAATTAAGCCTCGTGTTCAAAGTTGCTGAGGATGCACAGTGTCATCATCCAGATGACAGATGTAGGTACTGGACAGTACAGGACTGTACTGGCCCCAAGGGTGCTCTGCACGCTATCAGCCACCAGCTAAACACTGAACACTGCCCGAATATACTGCTATTCACAGCCCAGTCAGCCAACTTCACTGGTCAATTTTATGGCAATCTACAGGAGCTAAGAACAAGCAGCATTTTGTATGACTGGAACAGAAATTATAAATGCATTTGTGTAAATGAGCCGGACTAGTCAGATCCTTTTTGCAATTATTGCTTTTAAAGTTTATTCTAGAAATAAAATATTCCTTTCCCAAAAAAACATCACTGTTTCTATACAATAAATAGCTCTGTGATACCTTTCATTGAGGATTTGGGACAAGGATTTTATCTTTCTGAGCACTTGCAGCTTGTCTAAAACACTTCTTAAATTGATAAAATAAGGTAAGCAACAGTTAATCTGTAAAATAATTTCCCTTTCCTCATGAACCAAATGCACTTTACAAGTATTATCTGTAACTAGCTGTCAGTGGCTAACTGCATAACACAAGGTATGAGGGTGAGTCAATTAGCTCAGCATTTCATTGTTCTCTGACAAAGCCCTGTTATCTACTCAGTTCCAGCTGAGAAATCCTCCTTATCAAAACCTACTCTTTACATCTTTCCTCTGCAATTTAAATAAAGACACACTAACAGAGATTCTACTGCTGTTTACTGATGGCTGACACGAACAGTCGATACTTAGCTTGCAAAAAAAAAAAAAAAAGTCATGATACATCAGTCATTTGGTTTACTTTCCTAACTGGAAGATTGTTTCGTGCCACAATATAAGCACGAGCAATAACATACTGAAAGCACCTGCCTGCATTGAGGCATCCAGGAACCTTCAAGTGACCACAGCACTCAAAGCAAGTGCAGTAGCAAAGGATATACCCACTGCAACAACTCAAAAGTGGTCACAGATGAGTACTTTAAAGAGCATTTCCAGGCAAATTCTTTGAAACCATGTTCAAGTAAATTACAGTCATTAAGACAGGATGGTCTACAACAGAGACCCCCAAAATACAGAGGCATTAAACCTTAATGAAGAACTAATTTGTCTTTAATACAGGCTGGTGTGTCTCGCAGCCCTTTTCCAAGAAACCTCTAACACCTCTTTAACGTTAATTTAACCTGGATGCTTTTTCTGTGTCCATGGAAAGGTCAGTTCTTTAAATTCTGGTCAAACAAACTCACTAATACTGGTTTAAATACTCTTGTCTAAACATACGACTTATCTGACACCTCTTTTCCATATAACAAGGCAGAATTTAAGTCACAAAAATAATATAACCTATAATCAAAAGAGAATAATTTTCTATAGCAAGTATTTTCTGAACCTGAAAGAACATTTTGTCTCACTAGCAAAGAGATAATAAAATATATAAATAATTCTAGCCAACTGAAACAAGAACATAAATGAACATTTTAAAGTCCTTGCTTAGTTGCATTAGTCAAATAAATCCTATAGAGTGTATTATTCTATTTTCATAGGAATTAGTATGTTTCCTGTTAGAGACAAAATAAAAAATTACTTTAGAAGTTCAGTTTTAAGCTTCTGGTCATAACTCTCCTCTATGTTCTTCACAGCAACCTCCCGACGTCGAAGTGCATCATCAATAGTTTTATTTTTCTCTTCCTGAAGTTTCTGAGTGCTGAAATAATCATAAATATACAAAGACCAATTACAAAGCCAAAACTTAATTTTTTATGTATATTATTTTTTCTTAACATAACACTTAGCAACATCAAAGGGTGATGTGTGTACTAGGAACACCTTAGAAATCTAAAATTATGATCAGAACCTGTCACTGTAATTCATTAAGAACAAGGAGATGTGACACAAACTAAATTGCCCTAATTAAAATCCAGTACCAATCAATTATGCAGCTATCCCGGGGTAACCGTAGTTCAGCTTCCCACACCAGAAAGCCTTCAGAGACAGTGCTGAGCACTATCAGCACCCTCTGCTGGCTTGCTAAAAAAAAATAAAAGCCACAAGTTCTTAGCGTGATGCTGATTTTGCTATATAAAACAGATGACAGAGTAATAACATTAAGTAGATTAAAAACCTAGACAAAACTAGTTTAATTATTTTCTTATTTAACCAAGTAAAACTCATCACATTAAGGATAACAGTCCTAGCAGTAGAAAAAAAATGACTAAAGAAGCAAAATATCATATACATGCCTCATGACTGTTAGAATTACATACTGTGTTGATTGTTTTGTTTTTAATTTAAGAACTTAAAAGCAAACATATGGTTCCTTGTCTCCAAAGTCATGCTACATTATTCTAGTTGGATAAGAGGGAACAGATAAAAAAGCTTCTCTTTGTATGGGGTAACTCTCATAACAGAGGCACTGTTACAAAACTGTTCAAAATGCAAACACAGCTTATGGGATATAAAAAAATCAGCTTCACAGAAGCAGCAACATCACGCAGCATGCTTTCTAGATGAAGAACAACACGTAGCATTGTATATGCCCTTCAGCAACTTACATTTCAAATGCCTCGATTCTTTGCTTCAGTTCTGCCTCTCTTGTCCTCATGACTTCGATATCTTTCAGCAAACTCTGTCTCTGAGCATATACTTCCTTTGCTTCTATCTGAATCACAAAATATTATCTTTAGTTTTACTTCACACTGTATACGGTATCTATCATTGATCACATTCAAACTTTCAAGGACCGTCTTGAGACCCTTGAGGAATTCCAAAAGTTATTAGTTGTTTATAGTCATAATTTTATATGTTGTTTATAGTCATAATTTTATATAACATCCAGAATCTATTATAACTTAATTCCCCTTTTCCTTTTACTCTGAATAAAAATGCTTTAGATAGAAATATTACTGGCTGCCTGCAAACACTTTCATTTTAGAAATTATGTTGACTAAAACATAAAAGGAAAAAGGACTTTTAGTCCATAAAAGGACTAAAAGGAAAAATTGGTTAAACAAATATTTACAGAATAAACATGTTCATACTTCTCAATTTTTAACAATTTTGCATGCTCTTTTGTATGTTTTGCATAAACAAAAGTGAAAAACATGCCCAAAAATTGATAAAACGTGACTCGATAAACTGATAAAACAGTCAACTAGCAGTCTGTTATTGAAATTTAATGTATGTAATCAAATTGTAAAATTCAATCATGAACATGCTAATACCAAAATCCATATATCTTTTTGTTGTTATTTTAATTACTGAATTGATTTCATGTCCACAAAAGAAGACTGATAGCATAGAACAGATGGTTTTCTTGTAAGCTTCTAAGAACATAACAATGAAAGAATTTCATATAGCACTGATAAAATGTTTTATTTTCAGAAGGGAAAGAGGTCAGTAGTAGCTACCCATATACACGTACACAATAATATACAAACTCGAATTATAGTTTTGTTACCATCACAGGCTCTGAAGAAAAAAAAAAAAAGCGCAACCACACACGAGCAGAAAGGTGATAGCAATTGTAGATGACTAAATTACTCGGATAGGAAGGTCTGCTGCAGACAGCAGGGAGATTGCTAGGCAAATAGGCAACAGAATAGCAAGCAAACTACTCTTCCAAAACTGAAAAGTAATAGAGATGGAGTGAAGCAATTTAGAACTACATACAAATTATTATATACTGCAGTAACAGTTACTATTCTGGCAAAACACCAAGAGTTAACAGCCCAAAGGAATAACTCATCAACAAAAAAGTGTGGAAAGAGAAACAAGGTATCAGCCTATGGCAGACAGTGGCTATTGAAACTCCTCAACACCTAATGACATAGAAATGTTGTATCTGTAACATGTGGACTATATATTCCCTTTAGGTTAAAGTCCTTCTTAACAATTGAAAGAATTTATAGTATAACTAAAAGCTATGTTTTTCAAATAAAAGAGTAAACAGTCCTATAAACTATTAAAAACATCTCTGTGATCTGAATTTAGCAGTTATTAAAACAGATTTAAAAGTACCTATTACAATTCAGACCTATTTAGGGGAACTGCTCCTTTTCCAGACAGCTTTACTTAAATACTTACCCATACTCATCCTTTTATTTGCTGAATGTGTTCCCCTATTTATGAGAACAAAAGTAAATTCCAAGTTTTCACTAACAAGCCAAATGAGAGCTGAAGGTAAATCTCACAAAGATAAAAGAACAGTTTAATTGACTCATGAATCATTTTGTATTAGTTTAAGAAAAAGTATTTGGAACTTTACCTCTTGTTGTTTCTGAAGCCTCTCAATAGCATTCTTTTCACGAGAAATCAAGGCTTCGGCCTTTGCTTGATGTGTCCTTTCTAACTCATACCGTAGCTCAGAGATTTCTTTCTGGGTTTGTGCTTTCTCCTCCATTTTAATCTTTGCTATTTCAACTTCTTTAAAATGTTCTAGCTTTTACATAAAGGAGGAAGAGAGGGTTAAATAGTGATTCTTTCAAAAGAGCAAAGACTATCCCTCCTCAGACAATTCTAAATTTCACTCTGGTATTTCCTGTTCATCATAAGAAATAGGATGAAAATAAAATACTGTAATAAAAGTATTTCAGTAGCACACAGTATTTGCATGCCTCACATCATTTCCATCCACTTACCTAGCATCCCAAAACAGTTCTTACAAACAATAACAGGTTGAGAAAACAGCAAAACAAAGGCCTATGAAGAAAAATACACTGCAGGAGTGCTGCTCTGCTTGCAGGTAGGGAATGACCACACTCTTTGATTCCTCCTCTGACACAGTCTCTATCTTTGCCCCTTTCTCAAAGAACTGCTTTTGACTGGTGCTACTAGGAACAGAAAAGGCAGACATCCAGAATCACCAAGGAACAACAAAACTTCGTCTGGACACAAAAGAAAATGCAGAATGTGTAACTCCCCATGAGCAGAGAAAGAGAAGTCCTGACTCACACACTTCTTAGTACAGCTGAGAAAAGTAAATCCACATAAAAAGAGAAGTATGCATTTTGCAAGTGCACAGAAGAATCATAGGAACCATGTGTCCCTAAAAAGTATGAGACGCAATATATGCAAGAACTACTGGGATTATTAAGAATTATAGTAAGCTTTAATAAAATTAATATTATTTTAATAACATTATAATAGAATTTTGGAAGAAGATAGAGAACATACAAGAATAAAAGAATGTGAGAAACAATGAGATAATTAGAAATGAATGACAGAAAAAGTTTGAGACTACAGAAAACAAGGATATTAGAGAGGGGAAAAAAAGCACACTAGGAATGTCTAATCAAGAAAACTCAGTCCTATAGATACAGATTTGTGAAAAAGGAAAAAATGGTGGGTCAGTACAACCTCACTTGTAAATACACAAACTGGGCTAGAAATACCCTACAGTAATTCACTTCACATTGCTAAGGAATCCATGTAAAGTTAATAGAAAGTGATTTTGTATCTGTTTAAACCTCCATACTTCTGCTTTGTTTAAACTGAGATGAACTTAACACACAAATTAGCATTTCTTACATAACAAAAATACAGCACCTACCAGGGATTGAAGACTAAATGAAAAATGGAGATAAAATGCACTGGCTTTAGTTTAAGCTCTCCATCTCTCTATTTTTCTATCTTAATAATTATGGCAAAACTGTTTTCCTCAAACAGTTTATATGCAGATGAGCACCTTTAAAAGTGTCCCAAAACATTGTAATTGATTATCAGTGAAAAATTCTATTCTATTGAAATATGCAATTCATCTTGACAAAAAATCATGGAAAAAAATATTTAGATAAACTACAGTACATTCTATCTGCTCCATTTTACAGACATAAGTATTAATCAACAGACTTTGTGAAAACAAAACAAAACTAAACTAATTTTATTCCTAAAGTAAAGGACAAGCCTCCAAAAGAGCTCTGACTTTAATTATAGGAAGAAAAAAAATGTGGAATAATTCATAATATTGTGTCTGTTATGATTTTAACATTTCTGTGCAATGTTTTGAAATAGTATGTAAATTCTAATCAGTATTAAAAAAATAAATTGATCTGTCAAAGTATACAGCTGCAATTCATGCCCCTTGATTGTAATGCATTATGCTCAAATTCAAGCTTCAAGATCTTAATTGGGAAGGAAAATAAATAGTATAACTATGAAAAGTAAATATTTTCCCATAAAACAAAACAATCAAAAAGCAAGTGAAATTTACCAAATTAAGACAATCAGAATAAGAAAAAGATGTGTTTCCCAATTAACACCAGAATAAAGAGATGAACTGTATACATTAATAAAAAGGTAAATGACAACATACACATGAAATATCATCAAATTAACAAATGGTATTTGATTAACTTAGCCTTTTGTGTTTGATATAATTCATGATGAGACATTTTTCTTCAAGTTACCTTAAGTATTAAAAGTTCGTAAGGTGTAAAAATTCATAAATTTCTCCCTCAAATTCAATCACCAGAGCAATACCTTTTGAGCCATTTCTGCTTGAAGCTGCTTCTCTATTTCTTTCCTATACTCCTGAAGTTTTGCTTCTAAAGATTCATACTTATAATGCTGGGGATAGGAGCCTGCAAACTGCTCATCAATCAGCTGAAGCTTCTCCGCTATAAAAAGAGCAACATATCCATCAAAATTTAAAAATAAATCAGTCATCACAACTATCCTACCAAAGACTGTGTGATTCTGTGTCTGTATATGAAGGACCTCAGTGTACATAAGTACCACCTAAGACCTATGTGGTACAAAAGCTGTGGCAGCACAGAAATGTCATTTATCAGCTCTGTGCCACACAACATATTTGTAAGAGGAAGCACTTAGCTGTTCAGGCATAATTTGGCATATATAGTCATATATGGCATATATAGTTATTCATCCTCTTTACAGAGGCTCTAGAATTTTCTTTTGCATGCAACTTCTACATTTTTGTATTACTAATAGCGTGCATATTATATTTCAAAACCCGATCTATTCACAACAAACAGAAACACCATCATACAAAAAAGCAATGCATGCAGTTATAATTATGTCTTCCAGAACATGTTTCAGCACTTAACTTTTACAGTCCATCTAAGAAGTTATAGCTGTTAGCTAAACACCTAAGAAAACATCTGTGTAATGAAAAAGAAAATAGCAGGACTTTTGTCTTATTTCAAGCAACATTAGGAAAAAATGTAGAGCGATATAGGTATAACCTTTATTTATTATTGCTTTAGGTTGAATTTGAATTAGCAATGATTTAATACCATTCATACAATTTATTCATCCATATCATTCACCAATATGAAAATATTCAGGGAGACTTCATTGCAAAGACTGTACTTACCAAGAGAGTCTCTGTAAGGAGGTGTTGAGGTTGTCTGAGTTTCTGTGTCATGACTTTCCTTACTTAGATGATGCTCTGTAAGTCCCATCAAAATCTGCATGAGAAAACCTTTCAAGATCCAGTAGATTAGTTACTTCTTATTTCATACCAAAATTCAGTTTTCACACCGGTAACTAATGAAGTAATTTTCACTACACACAGAAAACCTACCCAATTTACTGAAAGAACCCAGTGAATATTAAATAAAAATCAATGCTAGTAAACTATTGATTTTTTTTATAAGCATTCCATCTTATTCTGCAAAAGCTGTGCTTTTGCAACTTTTCCTTTCTTCTGTTTATCTCTTTGACTTCATTGGTCATTTGAGAGAGCAGATTATTATTACTGTAATTACAGTGACATTAGGGAACAGTGGTTTCTGAAAACCAAGTTACTTCGGGCTATTTAATATAGATAGGCTTCATCATGTAGACATATGAATTATTTCTTACATTAAGAAAATGGAAAGCCTACTAAATCTTCAGCTAGTGTTTGTAATATACATGTGTGTAATCTAATACAGTCAGTTATAAACACAAATCAAAATTTGAGCTTGTCAAAATTAGAGTGAAAAGCTTCCACAAAACATTACCTCTAGTATTTGGTGCACTACAGGTTTCAAAATATTAAATCCATACTATTCCACATCAACACACACTCAAGGAATCTGAATATCTACTTCTCACATCTTAATAAAAATGAAGGTGACACAATTATCAGTGTGCATCATGTATAAATATCGTGTACCTTTATTTTCCTTCTGAGTTCCCAAAGTCTGTAAGAAATAAAAGACAGCCTTTTAGACAGGCTCTTTCACCACAACTTATCTTCAGCTTATCTTCAGAATCAAAATAACTCACCAGTGATTTGTAAAAATTGGATTTCGGATTGATTCTCATTAATTGAAGAAGATCTTGCACAGACAACAGCTTTTAGGAAAAATAAATAAATAAATAAATAAACAAAATTGAAAAGGTTAACTACGTTAAAAAAAATACTTCAAATATGTAATAGCCACCATATTATAGTTGTAGAATGTTTTAGATTTGAGAAAGATCAAAATAAATAATCACCTTGCAGAACTGTTTTCAGACACTTATCTGTTCTATAGCTCCATTTGTTTATCTGTTACCTAAAACACACGGCAGTCAATGTAGTTTCATGACCACCTGAAACCATGAAAAGAGAGGGCTTTGTTTCCTCCCAAACCTAGATGCACGCTCTTGCTACGTTCCCTGCCTCTATTTTGTTTTACCATATGAAGCAGATGAGCTTGATAATCAAAATGACAACTAGCTACTCACCAGCTCAAAAATTTAATTTCTGGTTAGAAAAAATTCATCACATTATCACATACTCATAGAGGAGAAACAAATACAGGGCAAGGACCACCCTTTTCATGCAGAAATTGTATTTAGGAACAGTTTAAACTGATCATGAACCACACTTTCAGAGAACTGAATGGCCAAAAAGAGGCTAGTTTTAATCAGGATCAGTTCCCCAAGTGGCCTGCCACATGGCTCTGCAAATTGTCACACCAAACAGAATCACACAATCATACCGCAGCTTTGGGTGAAGCGAGCTGAGGTTAAAAGGCTGGCACTATGTCTTTCCTGTATGGTATCTTATTGTGAGTTTTCATGTAAATAGACCTGAATATTGATGTCTTTCATGGAGATTATTTGAAGCTGTACTTGCATCTGTATTTCACCGCCACTAAAGTGGATTTTTTTCAATTCTGTTGGAATATAACAAGCCCCCAGAAAACAAAACTCCTAAAAATCTTACGAGAGAGATTGCTGAACTTACCTTCTTCTTCTCTAATCCACTTTCTGGAAAGAAAACAGAAAGTGAATACTCATAGCCACATCTCTGCAGATGATCCGCCACCAAACTGTTGGAAGCCGTGATCAAAAGTGAACTGTCATCACTTGGAACAGTCTGTGGCTGAAGTTCTCCACTTAAAATTGGGTGCATCAGTTCATGGATTAGCTGTTTTCGGAGCTGTGTCTGACACAGAAAAGAAACAACAAAAAAGTTAGTAACAGGCAACCTGGGACTGTAATAAGAGCTTTATTTTTCAAAAACCATGGGGATCTCATTCTACGTTTACACGTTATATTACAACCCACACACCAGAATTGGGCAGCCTAATGTTGGCAGAATTTAGAAGAGTGCTTTTCTTCAGAATACTCTTAATTGCATTACAGTGATCATTGACTTTCCCTCAAGATGTATTGGGTGTAAGGCTGAGAAGTTCTCAGTCAAAAATTTCACGTAAACTCCACTCCAGTACCCCCAGCTTCAATGTTACATCACTGCTTTCGTTTTCTCATATCACTCTTAAACAAAGCCCATCTGATGTGGCTTCAGCTTCATGTGTATTTGGAAAAGTCACTTGTCCTCTTCTGAGTCCTATATCAAAAAGCTGTTGATTCCATCCCAACAGCAGATGGGAAAATAATGGGAAATTCAATGTCTTTAGAATTAATTATTTTGTAGGGAAGCAAAAGGGTACTACTCAAAAAAGCCCACAGGCACTAATAATAAATTGTATTTATTACAATTTGTTTCAGTTATATTGGTTACAATATATTAAAAAAAAAAAAAAAAAAAAAAAGCAACCTAAGATCAGAAAGTCTCCCTATTGCAAGAGGAAGAAATAATCATTTTCACTATGTAATTACAGAAGTTGCTTAGGGCATGCTACCAAATCATGAGAGAAATAGCATTTTTAGCTTTCAGCAGCACTATGCAACAGTGACAAAGTTTCTAAAGCTAATTAAAAAGATAGTATGTTACCAAATAGGATGAAATACTGAATGCTTACCAAAACTTACTAAAGCTAGATCATATCGGACTATACTGATATTTAAGCATGGCTTTCTACGGAAACGAAGCTGATAATAGAGAGAAATGAAGAAAACTGACAAAATCATTTCCCTTAATTTCTGAACTAGTCCAGTTTCAACTACTTTGACAATGATGAAGTCCCAAAACCAACTGGGCCGAGCGACCCCTTGCACATCTTGTGAAAAAACGCAGGAGAAAAACACAGGGCTATATCCCTGTCCCTACTAAGGGGAAGAAAGGCAAAAATCACTTGTTATACTGTCATGATTCTTTTTGACAAAAAACTCTTGGCCATTCAGCACGCCTGTAGCTTCAGATCCAGCCTGCCTCTTACCAGCAGAGGTAGTCAGAAAAGACCATGGGAAAGTTGAGAGCATTCTTGTTGGAAGATACAAGTGTGTTTGCAGGAATCTGTAAGAAACCCAACCATACTAGTTCTTCAGCTCAGAAAAGCTATAAAATCTAAGACAGATAATCTTCTAGACAAGGAAAACTAAAGTGGGTAAATGGACTTAGATAGCATGTCACTATTAGTTAAGTCAAACAAGATGGGAAATGGTCCAATCATTGCAAGCTTACTGTAGAAACCGCTGAGGGAGAAAACAAGTTGTCTTGAACAGGAAATTCTTAGCCTTGAGATTATCAGTCGTTTTTTTGAAATATACAACTTGATTTTTTTTTTTTTAACTGCAATGAATTTGACATAAAAAGTAGGAGCTAAAAAAATCACTGATGACATAAAGCTGGGAATAAAAAGTACACCAAGATCATTATGTCATAAAAAAAATACATTCAGACATTTAAACACCAGCAAAACTGGAACTGCATGAAATACAAAATTTCAGCATTTAAGACTTGACGCAAATTTCTGCTATGGGACTGCTTGGAGAAAACAAGAAGTGGATGTGTCACTCAAACAATGACTAGCAGAAGAGTTGTAACATGCCTCAAAAAAAAAGACACATGCAGCCTTCCACAGAAAGAGAAAAGAAATAACACCACTCTCAGGTTTATCTGGAAAGCTCAAAATAGTCATGATTGAATTCCTTCAAGACAAGAGGGAAGCCCTCACACCAATGCAGAGGGCTAGGGGGATAACTAGCAACGAGCCTACTGCACCTTGGCTCGCCCAGCGCTGTAAAACAGAATGCTGAAGGTATGGTTGCTGCCTGCAAATTCATGAAGAGCTACTTACACTGAAGGACACTTTCAGTACAAGAAAAAGAGGTAGAACAACTGCGAACAGGCCGCAAAACAGAACTAAGTGTCGCTCTTGAACACAACCATCCTCTGAGACACTCTCCTGAACAAGTCCATACTGGAAGACCTTTTCCTGAAGAAGCAGACAGGAGTAAAATAGCTCGACTAGTTTTAAATAGCTTGGGACTACAGAACTGGAAGAAATTTAAGAGAATAACTCATGCAGCGTGCTTGCTTCCAGGAGTAAACGGGCAGATTCTGGGCCCTAAGAGGCCCTTTTTGATCCTCTTTTCTCATTTACTCCTCTCTTCCCTGCCTGACACTCTCCCCAGCACGGCACGTTTAAAGACCTGCTCTGGGCCACCAACCTTCCTGACAGAGAGACTACCGAAGGGCACTTGTGCTCATGAAGCACCCGTTTCTGGCAAAAAAGAAGAAAAACAAACACAAACGGTTGGGAATCATGCCATAGCACCAGCACCGTTTGCCCAGCGCGGATTTCGCCGGTGGCGGCGGGACCAGGCGCACCTTGAGCGTGTCCAGCACCCCTCGCTTCTTAAAAGCCTGGTACAGCCTTTTGCGGAGCTCATCCTGCGACAGCGCCTCCCTGCCGGCCGCAGCCATCCCGAAACGAGAAGAAACCACCCCAAAAAAAAATAAAAGAGCTCGTTAACCCCCCCAGCAAGGACCGTTACTGGCGGCAGGCACCCCGCCTCCCCGGCATGGCGTCACGGCGGCGACGGATGCGAGCCGAGCCCTTCCGGGCGGCCATAGGGAGCTGTTGGGAGCCGGTAGGGCCGGTAAGGAGGTGAGGGGAGCCGGGGGGGGGGGGTCGGGGTGCGGTGGGGATGGGGTTGGGTGGGTCGGTTTTGGGGTCGTCTTCGTGAGGTGTCTGCGGCCCCCAGGGGCGTTGGGCGCGGTCCCCGCTGTGGGGCCCGCGTCAGGTCCCTGCCTCCCCCCCGCCGAGGTGCCCCGCTGTGGAGAATGTCCGGCAGCTTCTACTTCGTGATAGTCGGCCACCATGACAACCCCGTCTTCGAGATGGAGTTCCTGCCTCCCGGGAAAGCTGAGTCCAAGGTGCGTGTTTCCCCCATCGCGTTGTTCTCCCCACCCCCTTTAATAATTTCAGCGACCCGCTGCCGAAGGCGACCGGGGCTTGCTTCTGGCCCAGGCACGTCGTGACAGGGAGCTGAACTCCGCAGCACTTAAATCTCCTAAAAAATCTTTGCCAGAATGTACTAGTTCTGCGTAAAACGCTGTTTCCGTAAATATTTGATGCTGTGTTGTGGGGGGTATATATGCCAGTCATGCTTCAGTCATTGCTCGTAGCATGTGCTGCTTTTATAGCACCAGGTCATTATACACTGCTCTTTAGTGTCGCTGTTTTAAGGTATCTGTTTACAATAATAAGGTGAAGGAAGGAACTAGTGTGAAAGCTCCATCAGTTTATTTTTTGCAGAATAAATCCATATTTTTTAAACCCCCTTCAGTACTCAGGCCTGTTTTAGGTGGGGAAGGTTTAAAACTTGTAGTGATAAATATGCTTGAGAATATGAGAAATATAAGACTACTCAATATATAATGTTTCTAGCGGGTTAAAAAAACAGACCTGTTCTTTCTGATACTACATCAAAGAAAAAAGCAGACTTCAGAACAAAAGTGCATGCATTTGTGCACGCATACCAAGAAACGGAGGCGTACGCTGCCACTGGTGTCATTTGTAATTTGTATTAGCATATCACAAAAGATCATAAATAAGACCATTCGGACTAGATTTAGCAAGTGCGAGGATGTCAGAAAGTGGAAAAAATATTCTTGTCTGACTAAGGTTGTAGTACTAAACTTTCTCTTAAGAGAGAATCTAAACATGATGTCTTTACGCTGAAGAAAAATAAGGCAACATTGATGTGTTTTGGTAACTATTGCTCCCACTTTTGAGACATGCCGTTTAAGGGTGAATTAAGGGCATGTACACATAAGTCAACACAAGCTTTTGCCTCTTAAACTTCACTACTTAGTCTCAGTGTGGAAGTGGTGAAGCTGTTAATGCACTAAGCCAGGTTTGACTTTAGCTGGGGGGAAGCAGCACACTGAGAGGTGTGAGGTTGGTTTTAACAGCATCCCAGTATTATAAGAAACAGTGCAAGGCTACTTATGTAAGAGCTTACAGAATTACCTAGCAGATGCCCTTCTAGCCATCTGCTAGAAGGCATCTAGATGCCATCTTCTAGCAGATGCCCTTCAGGGTTCTGGGTAGTACACAAAGTAAATGACTCTTCCCCGGCACAGCTCTTGTAGTGTTAGGGTCAAATACTGTGGATACTCTGTGAAGGCCATTCATGTTTATTATACGAAGAGTTTAAATTTATATCTGCAAGCATATATTTAATACCGGTTGCAGGATTTTTTTCCCTAGTAGGCTCTTAGGATAAAGAACCCCCTCAAAACAATAAAGCAAAATCCAATGTTTCTAGGCAAGTATCCCAGAGGGAAAAAAAAAAAAAATCTTTAGTGATAACATTAGTATATCTGTCCTCTGTATACCTCTGCTTTCCCACTCTGTCTTCAGACTATTTCCTTGATGACCTCTGTATTATGCACTTTCTCTCCCTTGAAACCAAGTATCATGATGATATGTGCAGGTTTCATTTAATCACAGGATTAATTAATATGTGACAGAAATAAGGATATATAGAATTTTATGTAACTTGAGCACTAGTTTACAAGCTTGAGCAAATAATTATTTGTATTTAACTCCCTTTATTGAATTACTTACTAATTCTCTGTCTTCTGGAAATGTATTAGGATGATCATCGCCATCTCAACCAGTTCATTGCCCACGCTGCTCTTGACCTAGTAGATGAGAACATGTGGCTTTCTAACAACATGTACCTGAAGACTGTGGACAAATTTAATGAATGGTTTGTTTCTGCTTTTGTCACGGCTGGACATATCCTTTTCTCATCTCTTTCTTTGTATATATTGAGCTTCTTGTCCGAAAAGTGATAAATTAGTTGAAATGACATTGTAGCAGATTTCTCTGACTATTCACCACCATTATTGTTAGGGTTCCCATCTTCAGGATGAAGCAAGTTGGGAAGCACAGCAGTTCTTTAAGATTGGAACTAACTGGAAAGACAGATTTTTTGCTTTTGGAGAACCTGAAATAGCCTAATGAAATGTGGATTTCACAGACAGTAGAGGAGAAAGGCATGAGAGGAATAATTTGATGCGTTCTGAGCAAACATACATGATTCTCTGCTTACATTCCTTAGTGTTAAAGAGGAGAAGCAGGGATAAACATACTTGATGTCAATTGCACACATCTTGAAAATAAAGTGTGAAGGCTTGATCGTATGTGTAGATAGTCCTTAAAAGCGTGTATTGTGAAACATTTGTTACACATAGCAAGTAACACTCATTTCAGGGATGTATGGGAAAGGTACTGAGAATATCATTGATATTCACAATTGTCTAGTTTTAAAAAGAATGATCTTAAATAGCAAGGTGATGCTGTTTTCAAATAGGGAAATTTAAAAATATAAATGGAAATGTACTGCTTTCTAAATTTCAGTGCTTCCTTTAGTTCTTTAAATGCTTACTCCTATAGAGTCTCCTCTATTTCATGGTGGAGTCACCATCCCTGGGGGTATTTAAGGAAAGCTTGGACCTGGTGCTTAAATACTTGTTTTAGTGGGTGACATTGGTAGTAGGGTGATGGTTGGACTAGGTGATGCGGGAGGTCTTTTCCAACAATGATTCCATGTACAATTCTGCATATACACTTCAGGTATATGCAGAATTAGGTGTAAATGCTTATTTCAGAATATGCTAAATGTTGTCTCTTATTTGTAAAAGTTAACTGTCCTTAATTGTTTTACATATGAGATTTATAATGCTTCATGATGTAAGACAAGAAGATGGAATTAAGAACTTCTTTAATGATGTGTATGAGCTGTATATAAAGGTAAGAACCCACTTCTTACAATCTTGTGGCAGTACTTTTAAATATATCCTGCTGTTCATGCTGAGGCATCCCTATATAATTACATTTTCTTATGGTGGACCTCTGTAAGGGGAGAAGCACCCTTGCAGTCCACATTGGTAACGTGTGACATGAAGGCTGCATTTTCTATTAAACAGAAAAGTCGTTTCCAAATTGTTAGAGGTTTTGTGCCTTCCAATTTCTTTTTAATTTTTATGATGTAACACTGCCCCAAATTGCTGGATTAATGTGATAATGAAAGCAAAGGGCTGTCACGGAAGTCTTGTCAAGGTGCTTCTCTCCTCACAAGTCACCCCTGTTGCCACAGCCTGGCGCTGTTTCCACTAGATGGGGCAGTTGCGAGCCCTGATGGCCAGCTCGGCCTCCTACAGCTACTCAAATGATGCCAATTTCTGAAACAAATTTCCATCAGCATCATGATGAATTTTTTAGGAGTCCTTACTATGAGATGGCTGTGCACATAGTATGGGGCCTTGAAAACATATGACTACTTAGGAGATCCATGATTTTAAATGGCACTACTTAAGCTGAAAGCTATTAGTAGTTTTCATTTCAAATAACATTTTCCAGTTCTGGACATTGTGCTTATTTCTTCTTTCCTCAGTTTGCAATGAATCCATTTTATGAACTCAATTCACCAATTCGATCCAGTGCTTTTGAAAGGAAAGTGCAGTTCCTTGGGAAGAAACACCTTTTAAGCTGAAAAAATAGCTTTCCTGAGTGAGTGCTTTTTCGTACTTTCCTGATTTGAGCTGTAGTTCTGGTTAGTTCCCAGCATGTTTGATACTCACCTTTCTGAAGACTGACAAATTGGATGCTGAAGAAGCTCTTTTTTTTTTTTTTTTTTTTTCTGATACAGATAAAATAGCCAGCTGCTCTGGTTAAAAACATATCTTCAGGAGTTTTTGTTCTGTCTTGGGAAAACTAAGTTTTAAAATGTCTGGGTTGAATAGGTACGAAGAGAGACACAGATGTCAATGCATGTGCAAAAAAAAGATAAGCCTCTTACACAGGGTGGGAGGAAATCAGATCTAAACACTAGATATCTCTAGTAATTTATTTAATATGAGCAAAAGGGAAGTTTTGATTGTTTGGCTGAAGTGGTTGATTTTTGCTATAAACCTTTCTACTTAGAGTTCTTTGCTAGAGAACTCACTCTGCAGACTAACCAGACTAACCTTAATGTTCAGGGTATTAAATAAGGTCTATATAAAGATTGCAATGTATAATATATTTATTATGAAGTGCTAAATAAAAAGGATCCATCAGCAAAGATTTGTCTTTGGTATTTCAGCAACTTTAAAGTAAAAACCTGCAAGTTTTAAAGCTTAAAATTGCAAACTTATCAGGTGTTTCATGCAATACGTGTTTAGCTGCAGTGTTGCATCAATGAAGTTAATAAAGTAGATCAAAACACCTCTCTCTGCCCCGACTTTAAATCTAATTCATACATGGGGGGGAATAACACAACTAAATTTACGCATTCAAACTCACGTTATTTCTATTGGCTTTGCAAGTGCTGAAATATGCTTTTTGAAAATATATTTAGACTAGGATCTTTGAACCATGAAAGTCTGAAGTCTATTTGATGAGGTTTCAGAAAGGCATTATTTGGCCTGTCAGGCTACCATCTCACTGTAAAATGTGGTTAGATGGTCATCTGCAAAACTTGCCACCATTACAAAATAGTAATTTTTAAATGGGTTGTTTAGCATGTATGTACCTGGTATCTTGGTTGATTTCATCATCTTTTACATAGTTTCTTTATGTAGCAAATCTATATAAACTATATTGGAATTTTTTTTGTTGTTTAAAATGGGATTTCTAAAGGAAATGGCATGCTATTCTAAAAAGTACATTTTATATAGCTTGTATAATTAAGGGGACCACATGTATAGGCGCTTTAAATGTATACTCAGTCATTATTTCTTTGTAATCTATGTTTACTGCTAAAGCGTCATTGTAAAATATTCCATGAGAAAAGCAACACTATGCTTTATATATAAAATTTCTGATATTTACCTTAAATAAAATGTGGAATAATGCAGTGTGAATGCATGTTCACTGTACTTTAACTGATTTAAGAGAAAAGTAGATGATCATTATAAGGCTTACCTTTACTGGTAGGGTGGTCAGTGAAGATGGGTATACTTGTCTACAGTAGTGTTTTCTAAAAACTGCATGATACAGCATTTTGAGAATCAAACTGATTTTTAGGTACACATATGAAATAAATAGCAACACATTTACAATAAAGCATTTTTATCTGTATAGTAGGTTGCTGTTAGGCTGTTTCCTGTCTCCTCCACAGTAGCATAATGGTTGGGGAAAATACAAGCAGTTCAGGTCCACTGAGGAAATACGTGTGTTAAATAACCATGCACATGACAAAGAAGAAAACTTAGGGCAAAGGATTAGTACTAAAAGTTTCCACTCCTTTTTAAAAGGGTGGGTTTTCATCATTGCACTGTCTCATGCCAGCACGCAGTAAAAAGTAATCCAGGAACTATAAATGGGAAAGGCAGCCTCATCAGTCCATTTGGACTTCATGAAAACAACTGATATTGGCCATGGAAAAGGGAACTAATTCTTCCCATTAATCATTATAGGGTTTGTGGGGAAGAATGTTGTCTCTGGATAGAATTTCAAAGAACCTTTGTTAGGTAGCTGCAATTTCCTGTGCACTGAGTACCTCTGAGTTGCAACTTCTGCAATAAGCTGAGAGATTTCTACCTGCCACTTGCAGATAGCAGAGTTATCTTGTGTTCAGGTATGGTCACAAATCTGCTCTAGGTCTGAAAGATGCAGCTTTAGCATGGATGAGGCAATGATTATAGCCAACACTATGAAGATCAGTGGATAGGGCATGAGAGATCTCCTTTGTGTTAGGTTTGAACCCAGTCTCAGAGGCTTGGGAATACAACTTCACATGAAGTCAGTTGCAGGATGAGAAAGCAGCAAATAACCTGTATCATGCAACAAAGGAATCAAAAACATTCTTCAAGTGAAAGGGACCATCACTAACCTACATGGTCCAAAAATCAAGCACAAGGAAATACGAACATTAGCACAGGCTAAGAACATGAACCAGCCTCCATAAAACTAGGCAGGAAATAGAGCTCCTAGACTTAGCTTTTTGCAGTTTTCTGTTACTGTTTATGGAACTTGTCTTCATTATCAGATTCACTGTAAAGCTAAATCAGTTTAAGGAATAGAAAATCTAACACAAGCAGCCTGGTCCTGGCAGCAGTCTTGCACTAAGCATCTGTGTACTCTGCTGGAACATGAGCTCTGTGTCCTTGCTATCGCACAATGCTCAATTTAAGCAGAGAAGCAGTCTCTTATGCCCATCCTCTTCCTAGTTGGTTGTTTGTTCCCTTATACATAGCGTACATCAATCCCACCCATTTGCCATAACAACGTTCTCACTCTGGATCCCACCCCCCTTTTTTTTTGACCATATTCTACCAAGGCTGGTGGTTGAACTTTTTTCTTCCTCCTTTGAAGTGAAGCCTGGATTTTTTGTATATCTATTTTTATTTTTGCAGAACTAAAAATACTGCTAACAGGACCCCCCCAATACCTAAGGTACATTAGCACCTGAAGTGAATCAGTGAATTCTAACATAAACCACAAGTGCCTACCTTACCTTCATATTGAATAATAAACATTAAGCCTTCACAAAGTACAGAAATGCATTTGTTACAAAGTATTACGAATGTATTATTTTGGCACCTTATCTACTTCTGCTCATCACAGGACTTATTTCTTTCAACCGTGTGTCCGTCTCCCTCTCACGCCAAAGCCTGACCTCTACATAGGTGACACTGCATTACTTACTATAGCACATAAACCTCCTTTACTACTGTGGTGAGTGTACAGTTGTGGGACAGCATATCACATTGCACAAGCACTTTTATTGAATTAAGTTATATTTAGCTTTATTAAACCTGGTTCTCGGACAGAGGCTGGGTAACCATGATGTCACGTGGAAAGAGTACAGAGGAGAAAACACAGGTGGGCTATGAGGCACCAGAAAGACTACTACAATGGTTCTCATCCTTTGTTTCCTTTTAGGGATCTTATGTAAGTATCTGTAGTACTCACATGGTAACAACCTACTATTTTGTTTCAACCTCACCTCCACTAAAAGGAAGGTTCAAGGAAGCTTTAAGTACTTAACAAATTTCCTGTCACCAATGGCCCCTAATGCATGCAAATCTTAGTTTTTAAAGCTTTTTGCTCTCTCCACTTAAGGTTAGGAAGAATCTAGCTAAGATTCTTTCTTCACAGATCTTTCATTTGCTGACTTGAAATCTAAACACTACAGAAGTAGCAGCTCAACCTACATTAAGCAGTTCAGTGACTGAAGCTTAACCAAATTCTGTTGCTGTATATACAGGACTGTAAGAATGAAGTAGATGTTAAACGTACAATTAGCAAAAAAGATGTCACTTAAGCAGGAGCAGCACATCCATGGAGCAAAACAGTCCTGAACAGGTTCAAGCAAGAATACAAAATACTCCAAATTCTAAGTGTGTAAGAGCAGCATGAAGTTAATTCTGCAAGCTTTACCTCCAAATAATATCTGGTACAGAGTGAACAGATAGGTTAAGAGAAGACTCCTGCCATTACTGTACTATCCAGAAAAGCTTTTCCTTTACAACAAAAGAGTTGCAGTACAGAAAGCAGAGTCTGTGTAGTTTAATGAATAACATGGCCTATCCCGTAGGCATTTGAATTCCTTTTGAGGTCTACAGTGTGTTAACAAGCATGCCTGTTAGCAGTCAGACTACACATTGAAGCAATAGTGCACTATCCAGTTTGCTGTTAGAAGGATATTGAGTATTCTGAGAGCCAGCTTTCAACAACTTCTCATACAAGTATTTTACCATTTAACAATAAAGAGCTGAATTACAAGAGCTCAAACACCTGAATTACTGCAGAAAAACTAACCATTAAATATGAAACTGGCTTCTATTCATCGTCCGTTAATGAGTACAGTTATATTAAAAACTGTTAAATGTTTAAATATATACCCTACAATGGCAAATTAAATACAGATTGAATTCAGCTCAAATACCAGCTGCAGGTATCTACTTGTATTCAAGCTGAAAGCTGTCACTATCTGCTGTAAGTTAAGAGCTTCCTGAGTTCTCTATGTATTGCCAATCCATAGTTTCACAGTACAGAGATCACAAATAAACACATTCATAGCTCAGGTCAACAGAACAAGGAGTTCAGAACTTTAAGGCTGCATACAAAAAGTCTTCTTGGAAGTCTGCCTTAACATGGATCCCTTCAAGTGCTATTAAAGCTGACTGAGTAACATTTTATTTTCCGTAACTAAGAATGGTTATACTTCAGTTATGCAGATTTTTTTTCCACCTGACTGATCAAAACATGCCAGAATGGGACTTAAGGCAAAGACATATTAACTTCAAAAAAAAAATCAGTATTTTGCATTAAACAGCTGGAAAAATTAGTATGGCTTTAGAATTGTAAGTGAAAGGAAAAAGGACATGAACTAAGTAAGAAAATTATCTTCTACTTAGGGACCCATAGTGACACATCAGGCAATTACAGAAGACCTGAAGGTAATTTATGTTAACTTACAGTAAACACATTAGAGATGAAGTACCACTGACATCAATAGGAATGTAGTGAGACTAATGTTTAATATCTAGCATTGTTAAGAAACTGACTTCTAGTGAAACAAAAATGGAATGCTGATTTCATAAAAATATATATACATATAAAAGTTTCTTTGTGTCAATTCCAGAACAGTTTCTCTAAAGTAGTGCTTCTAGAACTTCAAGTTTTAATTATAATCAAAGTATTTATCATTTGATTAAAGTTGGCAAATTACATTCTTATATTAACATTTGTACTTGACACCTTCCTAAATAGAAAGTATCACTATCTCAATAACGGGTCACTCATGAATGGGGATTTCTTTTGCTCCCTCAAGAAAGCAGCAGAATATTATAACTTCAGTATTAGAGTGGAACCCATTTGTTACTTTATCTACTACACCTTTCCCACCCTCTTACAGAGCCAGCTAGTCAAAAGTAACTTGGCCAAAACAAAAAGTCAACAACAAGATGAACTGGGTTTCGGTTTCCGATGAAGGTTTACGGTATCTGTTTGAATAAATTGTTCTGATCTGTCTTCAGAGGCTAGGACTCGTCTAACTGCTTCTTCAAAGGCTGCTGCAACATTAGTGGCATCTTTTGCACTGGTTTCAAAATAGGGATGATTACCGTTATTCCGGCACCAGTCTTGGGCTTCTTCAGTAGAGACTTGCCTTTCATTGATATCAACTTTGTTACCCAGTATCACAAATGGAAAACTTTCAGGCTCCTTGACATCTGCATAATAAATGAATTCTTTCTTCCAGTTGCTTAGGTTTTGGAAGCTTTGAGAGTCATCCACACTGAAGGTAAGCAGGCAACAGTCAGAACCTCTATAGAAAGGAGTCCGCAAGCTCCTAAAACGTTCCTGCCCTGCCGTGTCCCATATCTGCATTGTAACAAAGTGTCCATCCACTTCCAAATCCTTATTTAAGAACTCCACACCTATTGTATGAAACAGTTGTGCATCAAACTTGTTGGTGACGTATCTGTTCATAAGGGAACTCTTCCCAACTCCGCCATCTCCTAGCAGTATTACTTTAAGGAGTGATGATTTTGTTGCCATTGTTACAGGAAGAGATCCTCCTAGTTTCCTAGACCTGTAAAGATCAAGAAAATGGTTAAAAAAACGCAAGTTGGGAGCACAAATTTTTATACACAAGTATCTAGAAAGTGTTAAAAGTCCTCCAAAATCTGCTTCATGAAAAAAATAGGATAACTATGCTAAGCAAAGTGTAGGTACTCACAGTAAGAGCATCCACTTAAGAATGTTTAAGAGTTGTCTCTTGCACAGACCACAGTCTGCACAGCACTTGTAAGCAGTGTACTGCATGATTTACCAGTCTGTCACTTAAAACACTTCTCCCCAAAAAGCCTCCAACATTTGTGCAGAAGGGGTATTACAGAAGATCAGTGCAAGGATTCCTTTATGTTGATTGAAAGTGCCATAAAAGAATTGAGCAAGACAAACTTTTAGCACACGTGCCTTTAATACTCACTTCAGTCCCACAGTTCATTAGCAAAGTTACGCTTTATTATGCAGCAGTGAAGAGGAAGCTTTATCCCTAACACAGGACACCAATTTTTATTAGAATTATTGCTTATTTACTGGAATTACTAAAATCAATTTGAAGGGAATACTGTAATCTACAGAACAAATACGAGTGCTGTAATTGGATTTTAAAAGTCACACAGCTTGCTTTTGTCACTGCACTGGTACACGAACATTCAATATTTTACAGTTTACTCCGTGCAAAACAGCTATGGTGAAACAAATACTTATATTACAACTGCTAAAAAAGCAAATTCACTGCTGCTACTTCAAACAGTACTCAAGATGCCAAATACCTGGGACGAGTCTACAATGCCAGATCACTCGGTATGTGTAGGCTTGCCATAGTAAAACGTGAAACCCTAAAGGTGCTAGGAAAGAGTCTGGCTGCCCGCATGGGGACAGTCAAATTTGTGCTACCAATTCAGCTTTTTAAATAATAATAAAACCCTTTAATGCTAAAGTCTCATTTATTTATTTATTTATTTGAAGCAGTTTGCTCATCAGTGATTTGGCCCAAGGTTTGCTCTTATTGCACTAGTGTCATCTAATACTATTTAAAAGTACTTTAATCACTAAGGGGTCAAGGTTCATTTTAATGAGCCCAAACATAAGTTTCTACACAAGGAGAACCGCTGCTCCTGTAAGCTCTTTTACTATCTGAGTGGTAAAGTAATTCAGCCAAAACAGGCTTTTGTGAAAAGAGTGTCTATTTAAAATGGAAACAGGTCATAGGCAGCCCGGTCTGTCTCCTCCTCTGAAGGAAGGAATGTGGTCTTGCTAGTTGTAATTAGCGTTGCTGGCATATACATCACCCCACAGAGCATGGTTATGGAATTAATACCTGATACAAGCTGGCATAGGAGTCATATGACTGTGTTCTGCCTTAGAAGCAAGGCCTACAATAGAAGCTAGACATTTCAGGAATTTTTTTCATCCCTAATTTTCCATCTTTGAATGTGTACTTGTTGGACACAATCTACAGTAAAACACAAGAAATGCTTTACAGTTTGAGAGTAGCTGAAGCCTCAATGCAAGAAACCTTCAAAATACAAGGAGGAATGTCTGCTCTCATTATAAATTATTCAGAGGAAGGGGTTTCATTTATATTGCAAAGTTAAAAAGAATATTTATAAATCCCTATACAGGTTTGTATCACAACAGTTTTAACGTTGCTTAATAACCACAAATGGATCATGTAGTTACCTTTCACAGAACTATGGGGTAATTGCTATGGCTCAGGATACAAGCACATCCCATTTAATACACGTGAACAGCCTTCTTGGAATCACTGGGCTACTAGCATGTGATTTCCAGGTTCATGGTGAAATCTTTTAAAATGGTCCAGGTCTTCATTAGTCTCCCTAATTCCTACCATTAGTTAACCGGTTATTTGAGCTACTTTATTACATAGTAGCAATTTCTTAATAAATAATGCATTCATGAGAGCAGAGAGTACTGAATGTTTCCCTGTTTTTCCACTTCTCTGAAGGGAACACCTTACAATATTTTTTTTTTCTGTCCTATGAAATCAAACATACCATAAGAGACAAAACGAACAACCAACCAACTTATATAGTTCTGACTGGTATCAAGCACTTGTTTCTTTACCTCCTATAGTTTAAAGAACTGTGGTTAGACTGCAGTTACTATCATGAAATCGTTTAATTTAAACCAAAAATAAAGTAAGGAAACTGTTACGCAGTATCTGCTACTTTTGTGCATCCGTGATCTGTTAAGTTAATTTGCACACCTTGAACTATCTGAACTACTGCAGTGAGGCTAGGAGACTGCTGACCATAAGAACACTTCAGCCAGGCGCACAATTTGGTATCAGCCACAAACCATAAAAGCATCTCTTCAGCTAGAGCCAAACCCTGGTGCTTCTATACCAAGAGCTACAGAAACCAGGACCGATAAGACCAGCAGTTAACATTTTTGTCAAGTTTTTAGTCTGAAAAGTAATATTTAATGGATATTTTTTCAGTCATTTAAATATGAGCTTACAAGCTGTATTTGAGGCTCCAAAGAAATATGTTTAAACGCAGTAAGAAGCATTTTTGTTTGGAAGCAGCAAAAACTTTATACATTTACAGGTTTTGTTTACGGTAAGGGACACATCTGTGGCTCAACTGATTAAATATGCAGTTTAGAGCATCTGCAGAACCTGGATGGCAGTTTCCAGTACAGTAGGCTGTCGCATTTTTTCCACTTAAACATCTTTCAAAACAATTTAATATTTCTAAAATAACTTCATTTTTGGAATTGTTCAACCCCCCCTTCCCAAGTAACAAAGTCTTAACACTGAAAAAAAAAACTACAACAGAATCTTTCAAAGGCTGGGAGAATTTAGAGAATTGATGTTATTTCTCCTATTACATATTTTAAACTTATCCGTGTAATACATTTTTGACAATCTTTTCTGGGGAAGAAACAGTCAATATCTGATATAATATTCCTGAGGATTTATTACCTTAATTGTTCAGTTTAAATCATCATTCAGCACCTGAAAGCAAAAGAAAAAACTTAATTTCCAATGTGCATCTGATAGTTTTAACCAACATCAAAAACTGCAAGACACCGCAGAATTACAGACAGATTTGTTCCAGTTACTTCTCGCTGTGCTGCACACTTCATCTAACGTAAAAGCAGTCTCAATCCAGTGCACGGAGAAGTCTGCAAAGAGATTTTTCCCTCATTCTGATTTTCAGTCCCAAACTAGAAATCCAAAACAAATAAATAAAAAGCAGCCCCACTGCGGTGCGTTTTGGTAACCACTTCTGAATTTCTTCTTCCAGCTTATAAGGTCATAAGCTCTGGGATCACTGACTTCAGTATTCCTGTTAGAAGCAGGGAAGAGTTTCTACTAAATGCCATTTCTAACACGATCATGTACCGTAACACAAAATGTTATTTAATTATTCCCCTCCCAGAATACTCCTTTTAAACAGTGAACTGAGTTACAAGTCTGAAACATTTTCATTAGCAGTCCAAACATTTCCTGGCAAGACTGAAAACATGCAACTTCAAAAAATAAAACCAGTTCGCATTATAAAATCTTTGATTTCCAGCCCTTCAAAGCTTATTGGACAAGGTAATGTTTTTTTTTCTATCTTGGTTTTCTTAATTCCATGCTGACAGCTTCATAACTGCCTTTTTATTTTGAGTGCAGCTACCTCTTTCAGCAATTAGATGTTGAGGCAACACTCAAAAAAAAAAAAAAAAAAAGAGCAGCAACATGCAACCAGCCTAGGAATGTGCCTTTTAATCTATTAAATTATTTTCATAATAAAGGGGGGTGTGCTTATAGCACATACTGCCAAAGGCCAAAAGAAGACAGGTGCTGACATCAAGTTTTGGCTACCTGTACTACTCTATAGACAGCACAGTACCTGCATAGGATCTGATTCCAGCAGGTTACAACCTCACTTAAAATATTAAATGAACAGCATCAACTGGACTTCTACCACGGTGGGAACATGCACAGCAACACACCATTAAAAGTGAACAAAACCACTGCAAGTTAAGTTAAAAGATAAAGTGAGGGTGCAGATAAAATAGAAACCAGCACAAACTGGATCCATCACAACTGGCCCACTGACTTCTCCCAGCATTCTTGAAGAATCAGATGCAAGTGACACTTGCATTTTCAGTCTATTCTTTCTCCTCTTATACCTCCTCTCTGACTTGATTATTTTAATCATGATTTTCAGCCAGCAGTCACTCACGAACCATCCGCTACACACGATCAAAACTGAACCCAGAGGTTTCCTTGAAGATATGCACTGCACTGTCCTCGAGGTCATTCTTTAAACAATTTTCTTTAAACTACAAGCCTGCAGTTTTCCAATACTTGCTTAAAACTAAAGTTCTTAAGAAGTACCCATTTGACTTGGGGAGAGAAAAAAAACACAGCATGAGGCAGACTCAAGTTTGTATTGGGCTGTAAATAAATGTGATTAGGTAGAACACTTTCAGCCAAGCCTTCTGAGAGGAAAACGTTAACAAAGTTAACTCTGTTAAAGGTTAACACCTAAAAGAAAAAAAAAAACACAACACCATCTCAAAGGCACTGACAAGCACAGTCAGTACTTCAGCACTTCCATAACTGACATAACAGAAACACCAACATTTCAAAATCTCCTATCAGTTCTCAAACTTACACATTTACAGCACACCCGTGGCAGCTTTGAAGCCTATTCATAGTTTTCCTTGCTAAGCCATCAAACCACAGATACCAGACACGGCTAGTTTAAAATGGCAAACCAGCATTTGGAGTATCCAGTCAGGCAAAAATACTTGCCTTGTGGTAACAATGTAAATTCACTCCCTTGGTTATTTTTTCTTAAAGCTAGCTAAGTATTTGACAATATTTCTCATATTAACATAGAAAAAACCCTGTCTCCTATGTTTTTTAAGTTGCAGTGGCCCATCAGATAATGACATAAATTACTTCTCTGGAAGATCTCTGGAAAAGAGTCACAAGAACTAGCAGAGCTGCAAGGGCAGGGGCAAAATCCACAACTAAGTGTTAAAGGCTACCTTATGCTCGGTGTTTGTGGAGTCTTTAAAACTCTCAGCCCTCAGTTGCTGCAGTGTAGCTACATTTACCACCTACAGTAAGTCTGAAAGTTACCACAAAGCTGAAAATAGAGGAGAGAAGCAAATTTACCTCATATTTTCCCCCAGTTATCTAATCCTCACCCACATATTTAAAAGGTACTGCTTTACGTTTTGGCCAGTTAAACAGCACAAGAACTGCTTTCAGCATGTAAGAGGCCACAAGCCTGCTCAACCTTGAAACATTCTGCTTTACAGTTGTGTGCTGTGAATACATCACAGGCTCGGCCATGAAGGCTCTAAATCAACCTTCCCCTCCTGGGAGGGGGCACACAAGAGCCCTGGATCAGGACCAGCCCTTCATGGGTGGGCACTCACCAGTGGCCCTGTTCTTGGGAAGCCTGGCAGCCTTTCAGTCGCATGGCTTGACCTACTGAGATCCTAATCACCTTGCAGGTCTTCCTTCCTGCATCTACGATTGCAACACTGCACTATTATCGCAGTTTGTGTTTTGGGCTGGATAGATTAATTTGATGACGAGTTATCTGAATATCATCTCTACTCGTAAGCAGGCTGGTTACCTAACAGCAGAATAAAACTCAAGTTCATCCTTGATAATTTGTAGTATGAAAACAATGCAAAATGGATTGACATTAAGCTGTTGCTATTCATTTGTACGACCAAAAAGTTACATTTTAGGGTTTATTTGTAAGGTTACTTCTAACTCCTGTGCAGCACTCTACTTCCAGCAGTTGCCCGGCATGACTCAGGACAATGAAAGCAGCAGCAGCTGCCAAGAGCAGGAATCCTTTAGCCTGCATGACCGTTGGATCATGAAGTCATCCCAGTGTCCACTGCCAAAATCACTTTATTTATTATAACTTAGATCTAACCGCAAACTCAATAAGAATAACTTGTCAGGAGAAATGCCTACATTTATAACCCTGGGAGTTTCATCTTGTACAGAGCCAGCCTTCTCTTTCCATCTCATTCCCCACTTTCAAGCAGAACGAGCAAGCTTGTTTACTCTGACTTAATCTGAGTTGACATTTCTCAGCAGCTCACAGTAGAGCATCTCCCAGCTTAAACATCCAATGTCTGTCAGCCGACTACAAAACAACCTTGGGTGCTACTTGGTCCAACACTTCTGAGAATTCATGAGATCACGTTAATTGACATTCACCTTTCAACCCTGTTCCATTACTGCTTCCATTCTGTCAGTAATTTACCGAGCAACTATTTCTGCTCACCTGTGCTCATTTTTCTCCTCTACATTAGCTTCCCTTTTCCTCCAGGGACTCTTAGCAGTAGCAACCCACGCTGGCCAGCCTTACATTGGGAATATGTGCTCTTCCCTATATGAGCCTGTGACCAAAGCCCATGAGTGTCTGAAAAAGGTTTTGGATATGCCCGAGGAGTAACTCTTTCCCCTGGTCTGCTGTTATAGCTTATCACCTTATAAACTGCTAAAAAAATATATATATATATAAACACACATAAAAGTCCCATCCCATCTTCCCCCCCCCCCCCAAAAAAAAAAAAAATCATGCACTAAAAAACAAACAAACAAAAAAAATAAAACACTAGCAACTTCAGATCTGTACAATACTTTACAGACAGTGGCACAAACACCCCTGGAACAGGTTTCAGCAGCCGGCGGGCTCCCCGCACCAGGCCTGCGAGCGCGGAGCCCCCCCCCAAGAGGGGATCCCCTCGCCCCGGGGCTCCCACCCCCACACCCGCGGGGCTCCTCCCGGGGAAGGGGAGCCCCCCCAAGGGCAGATCCCTGCGAGGGGAGCCCCCCGGGCCCGTCCCGGCGCTACCTGCCCGCGGCTGGGGGCCGCCGCCGCTCCGAGCCCCGGCTCCGCCGCCGCCGCCCGCCACCCTGAAGGGAGAAACAACATGGCGGCGCTGGGGGGGCGGCGCGGTCACGTGACGCGGCCACGGGCCCGCCCCGCCGAGCGCCCGCCCCCAGCCCTGGGGTCCCCGTGAGGGGATGGGGAGGGGGGGGAGGGAAAATGGCTGCCGGGGGGGGTGCAGGGGGAGGGAAGGGGGTTTGGGAGCGCAGCCCTTGTCCCGCTGCGATTTGTTTTCCTCAGCTGCTCTGAGTTAACCCTTCAAACGCCTTTATTGAGTAGCCGCGGCTCAGTTATTTGTAAATTGCAGCGGCAGCGTCACTGCTCCATGCTTAAGGGTCCCGTATAAGCAGACCCACGACGCCAAGGCAGCTTCGCTCTGCAGGTCGAGGTGTTTAAAACCACACAGGTGTCAGCGAGGGAGCTGAACAACGCCCAAAGAGCACTAATTGCGAACAGTAGTCAGACACTTCACTCTGTAGCACCTCAGAATGAAGTCCTCTGGGTGCTAAATCACACTTACAGGAAAGCAATCTAATGAAACCGGAGATAGGATATTTTCTGTGTTCTTACAATGTGTTATGAGGATAGGGCAAACTGTAATTAAAAATGAAAAGAGCAGAAATGTGTGTAAGTGTGTTTGAAGAGGCTCCCACATCATCAAGAGGAATAGGTGATTATAGGCTTGAGGGAAGAGCCTTTGAAACACCAGCTTGCTCAAACAGCCATCACATGCTGTGGGTCACAAGGGAGATGCAATCAGGCAGGATTTGCCACTTGCACAGTCATCTGGGTTTGGATCTGATGTACAACACGGCCTAGGGAATGGAAAACAAGATCTCAGTATTATCAAAAGAAAATGTTTCCTACTGACAGCAGCAGGATCCTTACAAGGCCACCCATGCTAGAGGCAAATCTGATGACACTGAGCCCATTCTTAGTTAACAAAGCTGGACTTTGAAGAATTTTCAGTACTTGTTTCCTGGGACCTGCTTTCATCCAACACTGAAGCAGAACAGAAAGCGCTGGGTGGGTAGAAGACAGCATCTTTAAATGGTGATGATCCTATGACACAAGTTCTGATCATAATTTTGTGATTCAAAAAGAAAAATAAAAGTCAGCTTTTGGACTTTTGGAAGCTGAGGAAATAATTATTTTTTTTTCCTTTTGGGGATGCAGCTACCATCTTTTTTTTTATTATTATTATTTAGACAACACTGGTTCTCTGATATTTCATAGAATCATAGAATATCCTGCGTTGGAAGGGACCCTTAAGGATCATCAAGTCCAACTCTTGACACCGCACAGGTCTACCCAAAAGTTCAGACCATGTGACTAAGTGCACAGTCCAATCTCTTCTTAAATTCAGACAGGCTCGGTGCAGTAACCACTTCCCTGGGGAGCCTGTTCCAGTGTGCAACCACCCTCTCTGTGAAGAACCCCCTCCTTATGTCAAGCCTAAATTTCCCCTGCCTCAGCTAATTTAGATACATTTAAGGAAGTTTTAAAATTTGAGTTGGGAACAAAATTCTTAAATTTAGGAGACAAGATGTACCTTTATTTCTTTTGCATAGGAACACTCAAAAATGTAGAAAAGGAGCACGGTGTAATCATGCCTGCGTTTTTGCAATGTTGTAAATGGAGCTACTGTTACAATTAAGCTTAAAACATACACACAGGTGCTTGAGGGTCAGGAATAGATGCCCCTTTTCCCTCAGTTCCCCCCGTTACTCTTATTTGTGTATATTACCAGAAGTACTTGCTGCAGCACGGCCAGAAAGCCCAGATGAGCACTGCTGCTGGCGGGGCTGTGCGTGCAAAGCCAGCCTCAGCAGCAGGCCAAAGGAAATGCCTGGCTGAGACATGGTTTGGCCCTTGCACACGAAAACCGCTCTGCTTTCAGACCCGGCCAGTGCCTTGGGGCTACAGTGGTGCCTCAGACCTTGCCCTAGCCCCAGGCCAGCGGTGGCCATGTTGCCACCTGGGCATGGCCTCCTCGCTGGAGGCTTCGTGTCACCACCGGCCCCTGGCCCTGCCACCTTGGCCGGGTGCTGCAGGAGGGGCACCTGCTTCCTGGGGTCTCCATCCCAGTTGTGTCACCCCTCCTGCGCTGGCAGTACTGGGAGTGGATGGATGGGTGTTCCTGTGCCGAGTACCATTGACGTGCAGCAGACCAGTGCCACGGCTAGTGGAGGACAGTGGGGTTTTTCATGCGAGAGAAAGTTCTGTGTCAGCAAAGCTCTCGTGTAACGCAGCTCATGAATAATGCTTTTTACCATCCGTAGCTGGCAAGGAGACTTTGTCCCATCCTGGGAAGTGATGGCAGGGCCTCAATAAAACATGACTTTGTCATCTCCTGGCTGAATCACAACAGTACAAAATAAGGGGATGTGAAGTCATCTGCCTTTATTGCTCTGCTCATATCCAAGAAATTATCAAAGCGCTCTTGTTTCATTCCTTATCTTCCAGGCACTCAATGACCTGGGCCATTACACCCTGAAGACACCCTGAAGGACTGTAATTCAACATATTTGCTCTTTAGCCATAGCCTGTGACCAGGTAACTTCTCATTTTGCCAAGGGGAGGGAAAAAAAAAAAAAAGCTGTTCTATTGTAAATACCATGGCAGACTGAAATGAATACGTTTTAAATAAACAATAAACATCACCATTTCCTTTTTTGCTTGGAAAGGAAGAAAGAGTTATAAACTATAAATGGCTGCAGAACAAGGTGCTACAGGAAAATGGTCATGATGGAAAAACAAAAGGCCCTCAGCAGGACCGAGTTAAGTGGATCCTGGCAGTATTATCTCCAGGAACCAGGAGAAGTGTTGTCATTAATATTCACTCCCATTCATCAACTCCTATTCGCAGAAAACTTCTCACAATAATATCTTTGCTTCTACATCAAAATTTGAATTTCAGTGTTAATTTTGCTATCATCTTCTGAAGAGACAAGTCTTACAGCTACAGGTTGCTTAAACTTTGAGTGCAATCTACATTTTAACACTAACTTATTGCTACTATTAATTCATAGGATAAAGGGAGTAGCTAAATTTACAGTTTTTCTGGGGAAAAAAAGAAAATAAATATAGACCTTATTCAGCATACATTCGCCTGTTTGAATTCCTTCTGATGTCATGCCTGTTTGTAGAGAAGCATCATGGATATGCCAAACATCATACCAAAAATGATAGTCTCTGCTTTAAGAAATTGAAAGCTTTTTTTTTTTTTTTTCTCCTATCAGGAACAAACTTAAAAGAGAAGACTTCAACAACATAAAATAATCTCACTTTTCAAAGTTTTCTTCTTAGTCTTGTTTTGGGACTCTTGACACTCCTTGTACTCAGTAACCCAGACCCTCATGCTGGTACACATGCTGTGTGATTGCAAGTTGACTTTTTAGAGCCATTTTGAGCCAAAGCATATAATCTTATCCAGTCAAACATTTTAAGCCTGTGCAGTTACACAATCTAGGAAGGGACAACATAACCTATTGACAAACTGCAGCCTGGAGCAGTACTTTGCATAGTGAAACTGAGACCGCACCTTTTTTAAATAAGAACAAAGTCTGCATCACTTACCCGAACAATTCTCTCACATTTGACACTGCACGTCTGCACAGTATGCTGATATATAGCAGCACATGACACCACATGACGCTTGCTTTCTACTAAACCTTTCCAGTCATGAGGGTAGGATACAATCGCAGATGGAAAAAATGGCTGAAGTAGTAATGAACCCTGTTAGGTGAAAATAAGATGTGTAAGATGATCAAGAAGATAATAAAATAAAAAAAAAAATCATGAGTTTATATTCAGTTTCATCAACTGTTAAGTGCTGATTTGCCACATACTTATCAACGTGAACTAGGCATGAAGTGAAACCGAACCTGGACAAGTTTTTTTCAGCAGCACTGTAACAAGCAAGGCCTCATTTCCTATGCGTGTCCTAAACATACTTAACAATGGACCCCATTCACTCTCCCTGCCTCCCAATACTTCCTTTTCCTTTCCACCAGTACTACCAGATCTATTCCTTGTCCCTGGCTTATTTTGTGCCTGGCTTTAAGGTGTGTTGACTGGGCGCTAGCAGCTTAAACAGACTTGGTAACTCCTGAATAAAGAGAAGGCCTCCAGCTCTTCCAATAGGAACAGAAACTCTCATAACAATTACTGACATTTACAAAATTTACAAATATACTCCTCATACTTTAATGTCTAGGTTTGTAAGAAGTCCAGTTAAAAACAGCTATCGGGTTCGAGTGTTACTGAGAAGGAAGGCCCCTTCTCAGTTGTGTTGGGGTGTACAGCTTAGCACTATACACTTAGTGACGGGCAGATCAAAAGAAAGCGATGTTACACGTTATGCCACAAATGTAGTCGGTAGGACGGCTACACTATTTTACTGCTGAAATTTACTCTGGCAAAAAGACTGGCCAGGCCTTGCAACATTTTCCCTTCCCTAGGGCAAGCCTTGGATGAGCTGTACATTACTGGAATGGCTTCAAAACCACCTGCAGGCAGAAATTATTTACACATGTTCGTTGCTCATGGCTAAAGTCAAGTCCCTTGCTGGAGGAGGTTCTGGGACAGCACCGCGTGGGTGCCCAGCTCTGCTCAGCAGCACCTTGACCTGCAGGGTGGCTGCAGAGAGCTCTGCACTTACTGAGAACTACGGAAGTATTTCTTTGCCTATGGCTTTACTGAAACCAAAAAATAGTACTTATAATCATAAATTCCAGCTCGTGTAAGTGCTGGCAAAGTCAGATATAAGATCGGTTACATACATGAATGTTGAGGGCCTGTCCTAATGCTTTAATATTTGTTCAATCCCACCAAAACACACATTTTCACATAATAAAATCTAGGTAATGCCACAGTAAATTACACTGCTGAAGGTTAACTATTAACACTCTATTTCACAAAATGGACTTTTTTTTAAATCAATTAATTCTAAGTAGCTCTTTTAACATCAGGTTGCACACCATTTTCATCATATACAAATAAAAGCCCATTTTCTCTTCTCGTTTTTTAATTCACCAACAATGTTTTTCTCACCTCATGCCCCTACCTCCTTTCTCTGACAGGTCACTAGGCTGGAAAGCTCCACAAAAGTGCTGACAAGGCTCAGCCACCTTATGGATAGATGGGCACAGGAACTGCCCCTAGCTCCTCCGGCAAGTCACTCGGTAGGTTTCTCTGCTCAGCTGCTGAGTTTAGCCTTGAACTGCAAAATGCCTGCTATGCTTTTGTAAAAGATAACTCCCTTACAGCCAACTATGCAGTTTTAATGTGTTTATACAACAGGGTGAACTGAAACAATTTCCTTTGTGCCTCAACCATGACATTGGCAATTTATCGACCCATTTCACCTCCTAGACCATACCCCAACAAGCAAACTCATTATGAAGTTTCCTACCAGTCATACTGCTCTGCTGCAAGACCCTCATTTCTCAGACAGTGCAGAGATATTCTTCACTGTGTTTCCTTAGCCCACATCTTGACACATTCATGTGCTCAGAAAATTAGGATTCACTGCAAGACCCATTTTCTCTAACGTGTAAACATTTAAGTAAAAAAAAATGAAATACATGAAGTTGGGACACACAGTATAAACAGTCTTCCACAGATCCATACACAGCTGTGAAATATACCTGGACTTGGGTGGTTCTCTTAAGTTCAGAAAATAAACTTTCTTATTAAATTTTTTATCTCAACCCACGAATTTTCTAACTTTTCTTCTGATTTTCTTCCCCCATCCCACTGGTGGAAGGTGAGTGAGTGACTATGCAGTATTTAGCTGCCTGCCAGGGTTAAACCACAACCCATGTGCAGTCTTATATTGAAAATCTGAGCTTCAAATGGATAGACTGGCAAATCTTTATTTGTATTTTTTTTTTCTCCCAGTAGATATAGAAAGATAAGGGGGAAGTTCGTTTTTGCTTCCATTTGCTAACTGCCTTCTTTTACACTCCATTTTTCATCACTTTTTTTCCTTTTGGACAGTACTCCTCAAAACAATAAGCTCACACTCGCTTGCAAAAAGTGACTTAATTAAGGAGCTGAATCCATGCTGAACTTTTTGCATTGCATACAAGTATGTGAAATGCAGCTTTGGAAACAGTCTGTTTACTGTAAACTAAACTTATGTTCTGCAAAAGAATTCCAGCTAAAGATAATGAAAACTCCAAGTACATAGTACCCTGGGGAAAGAACAACTGCAGTACTTGGAATATTTTTTATGGGCTTACTAATGAACAGTCCAGTCTTAGCTGCAGAGTTACCATTTATAATAGATTTTTTAAACCCACCAAAATACATACTTAAAAAAAAAAACACAAAACACATTTGTTCAGAGCATCTTTAAAAGTAACTTAGCAATTTTTTAAAATCTTTTTTTTTGCAATTTTTAATTGCAACTACATAGTGTCAACATAAAATCTTAAATTACGCGGTTTCAAGAGACACCTTCTCTTATAAACATCTCTCAACTACTTCTTGAAGAGGGACATGTGGAGGTTTTACTCGGGTGGGCAGCCGAGTTCCACCATGGAAGCTCTTTCACTCCCCCTCCTCAAAGAGGAAGAGGGAGAAAATATGACACAAGGAGCTCAAGGTTTGAGATAAGGACAGGGATCAACAATTATTGTAACGTGCAAAACAGACTCAGAGTAGGGAGATAGTAGTAAGATTTATTGCCAATTAGTAACAATCCAGAGAAGTGAGAAACAAAGGAAAGAAACCAAAAACGCCTTCTCCCTATCTGCCCTCTTCCACCTCCTTTCCCCAAGCAGTGCAGGGGAACAGAGGAATGGGGGTTATGGTCAGTCCATAGCGCTTCTTCTCCGCTGCTCCTTCTCGGTCACTCCCGTCCCCTGTGCTGTGGGGTCCCTCCCACGGGATGCAGTCCTTGATGAACTGAGCCTGTGGGGGCTGCCCACAGGCAGCAGCTCTTCAAGCACTGCTCCCACATGGCTCCGTACCACGGGGTCCATTCCCCAGGAGCAAACTGCTCCAGCACGGGTCCCTCACAAGTGGGCAGCAGCTCCCCCCACACCCCATGCTCCTGCGTGGGCTCCTCTCCACGGGCTGCAGCTCCGGCCCAGGGCCTGCTCCACAAACTCGACTGCCCACCTGAGTAAAACCACCACAGGACAGGACAGCCTTACAAACAAACCCATCTGCTGTGATACCACTGTTCTCCACATTCGTTACAAATAACGTAAGTCAACATTTGTTCATCAGGATTTGTGTTTCGCACCCAACCTGGAAGAAACAGAGTTCCTCTGGCAATCATAGTGACAGTACAGTCAAATTTCTCACAGCGCCTACACTTTATTTTGTTTGTCTGAGTGCCATTAATAACTTGTGGAAGCTGATGTTCCTGCACAGATGACTCTGTGTACAGGGCCCTGAGCTGTTTCAGTTCATCGCTGGCCATTTCCATCACTGTCATCTCAGCAAAAGCCTTTGGACTCAAACTCCCTGAAAAAAGGTTACATTTTAAGTGGCTATTTTTAGGGTTCTTCAGGTTAGAGACTTTACTTCTGATGCAATTTTTATACTTCTTGTCATTCTTAGAATGAAGAGCAAAAATATGTTCTTCGACTTCTTTAGATAGCTCTAGCCATTTATCAGTTTCTTCTTTGTCTTTGGCAGAATCACTCATGGCTTTGTAAAGAAGATCTGCACATTTATACCTCAGAGCTCTCACGTGATCCTGCTGCAAGCTTGCTTCATTAACAGCAGGTTTAGAATCTTTGCTATCAATACATTGTTCCTCAAAAGGGGGGAGCTGTTCCAAGCTGCCTTCTGAGTCATTGAATACCACATTTTTAACAGTTTGTGATGGGACCAAAACTTGAGAAGGGGCAGCATCTAATATTTCCTGCTGACTTGGCCCTTCAGACAGCAACTGTTCTCTGGGAGTCACACCGAGATGTTCAGTTTCCTCTTTTACATTCCCAGAAACTGGCTTCTTAACTTGCACTGACTGAACACAGCTATTCTTGTAAAGTGCTTTCCACTTTGACAATAGCTGCTTTGCTTTCTTCTTCAACTCTACTGAAGGGCAACTCTTGAGTACTCTGTATACAGCCTTGGTAACTTCTGTCCCCTGAAGATATTCGATAGTCATATCAACATCTTCAAGCTCTTTAAGATGATCCTCAATATCTTGGAAATTGTTCCCAGAGAGTAGCTTCTCGATACAATGGGATCTGTGTACAATAATTTTCTGGTCAGACATTTTTAAACCTGAAAGCCAAAAAATATATATTTTAATCATGTTAATTCAGTTTTGACATTTATTAAATCATTTTCTCTATATTCTCACAAGTGTGTTGTTTGTACTTTTTTTTTCCTGTATGTTATTTGACACTATTTTATCTGCATAATATCACTGTGTTTGCCAACTTTCCCTTGAAATGGTGTACAGTGGAGCTTGCAGAGCAAATGCAGAGCACAGAGGAGGCTGGGTCCTGGGCAAGTGCACACAGGCATGTAAGTCTAACACATGCAAGGAAAACACTGGCAGAAAGAGACCAGGGACTTCTGATGAGGCAGAGTTTGTAGTTTTAAGAATTATTGTCATGCCCTACTTTTAAGGAAAAACAAATTGTTTTGCCAAAATCACACCAAGACACTGACAGAATAATAAGACATTTGTCAAACTACGCACACCAAGAGACTGGCAACTGGTGCAAAGAGACAGGTAACTACACGACCCCCCTGCCATTTGAGATTACAGGTGGATTTTGCAGCATTTTGTGCATTAGTAGACTCGTACCACTGGCCTACCAAGGAGCAGTGAGTTCTGAAACTCAGTATTTTTCAGTAAAGGCACCAGATGAACACTTGTTGATGTTTAAAATGTTACCAAATATTCCCACCCCCCAACATCTTTATAGGCAATGTATCTCACCCTCTTTACACACAAATAAAAATAGGATTAGGGTTTTCACAGTATTGGTGTCAACAAATTGCATTTACTGAAAATGCTGATTTTGGAGAATGTTTGTTTTTCCATCACACAAATTCAAAACCTATGAAAAATCAGGTCTATTAAAAATCATGTCTGAGGCCTTCTGCTGTAGCAGCTATTTGAACAACATCATGTCCTCACACTGCTGAACACATTCTGTACTAGCCTCCTGATAATCTCCAAGGGCAGACTTGTAAGTAAACACTGCACTAATTTAATCTGAAAGTTGCAGTGACCTGAAAGTTTACCCCAAACCAAGGGAGATGATTGCTGCCATCCTTCCAGAATGCATATGCAGAATAATCCTTCTCAGAAAAAACATGATGTATGTCTCAACTTTTGGGAACCTGCATATAAACATCTTTTTCTACTTTTCACTGTTTCTAAGCATCCGACTACAAACTCAGCACAAGCTGCAATGGTACAGAGTATCAGGAAAAGGGGAGTCCAGAAAATCCACAGTGTTTTTTGTTCTATTTATTTTAAATCAGTTATCCCTGTGACTATGCCTTAATTTGGCAAGATTTTTTTTTCACAAATCATTACACTAAGTACTGAGATGTTTGGCTATCATTTAATTTTTAATAAAACAAACATATTTCCATTTGGTTCCTCATAGTTCTTCTTTAGTTAAAATCAACCAAATAGGTGTTGGCATTAGAAGACCAATTTGGAGTAGGAAGCCATGTGGAGCAAAGCTGTGTTACTTCAAAAGAGTAAAATTAACCAGCTAATGTGGGAATGGTATCTGACCAAAAAATACTGAGCTAAGTAACTTGTTCAAGCACCTGCTGAAGATGTCACTTTTCAGGCCTTCTGAGGAACTTCAAAGACAACCATAACTCCGCATGAGGAATTTCTTAACGAACAGTAAGGAGCTGAACACATTATACTGGGAGCTACCAAGCTATGGTTTGTGGCTACTCTGCAGCACAGTTAAGCAAGTGAGACTGACGTAACTCAGTGGATCTTAAGCCCCAAACCACATTCTATTCCTCCGTGACCCACGAGCCTCAGCAATAACTCAACCTTTCACTTGTTATGCAAGCGATCATGTGTTATCTTTCTTCCAAAAGCTTCTCGTTACAGCTGCTAGCAGAGAGGCAGATCAGCCTAGTAAACTTTTAACAGGTCCTCGTTGTTGCCCTTTCCCTTGCTAGCTCTGTCATCACGTTACAGTTTGATGATCAAGGCCAGGCAGCTCAAAAACAGCGACACCTACAAGCCAGTGGCTGAAGCTGAATACATCCTGATTCTGCTCTAGAAAAGGCCACTTGCATTTAGAGACTGATAGGAGGCCAGCTACACACGTGCACATTCAAAGGAGCCCATAAGCAGATGTCTTGCACCATCACTGTTTCCATGATGAAATCTCCTGAGAATGGGGGAAGAGGAGGGAAAAGAGAGATGGGTGGATAATTTGCACGCCCTGCTGCTTTCAATGACTACTGGGCTAGCTGACTTGTTCTGTGTGTGCCAGAAATACGTTCAAGCTTTAGGTAGGGCCTTGGAGCTCCACAAAAAAAGGAGAGAGAGACGGAGAGCATAAACCTTCATTGTGTTTCTGTAAGCACAAACTACAGACCAACCTGACCTCCACAGTGAATGCTCTCTGCTTGCACTTACCCTGTCTTTAAACAGCTCGTTCTTGCCTGACATTTTGAAGTCCCGTGAGACCTCAATAACAGCTGTAACAGAAACTGATTTGCTAAAGTAGTTTCAGAAACAGGATACATTATTCAAATACACTAGCTGAACTCTATGCACTGCCATACTGAAAAGCACATACACTTGCATCCTGTCTCATCTGACCAGCCACGTAGAACTTGTGAGAGTGGAAGAGTTTTTTTCTTGCAGGGTGGCCACCATTTCAGCAGGACAGCTCCCTCCTGTCTCCCAAACACTGAGCAGCTGACGTTATTAGTCAATGATCTGCTGGCATATACTGTTTCTCATGCGACCTAGGGCAGAGGCAGGGACACTTGTGTACTCAGTGTGATTGCCCTGTGCCTTAGATTCAGCTATGCTCCTAACCTGCCTTAAATGTAATTTTCTTCAGTGTTTGTACCTATTAACATACATAGTGTATTGTGCTACACATAGCATAAAGTACACATATCAAATGCAAGATGGCTCAACATCTAGTATACGGTACAGAAGTTAGTAAAAGCCATACCTTTTATTCTGGTTTATCTTCAGTCTTACTCCACCAGCGCATATTTACAGTAAGGAAGAGCCACATGGATAGGAGCCTGTTATATAAAGCTGTGGTGCTGCAGAGCTCCCCTACCTCCCACTTACTGTATCAACAGCTTCAAACATGCAAAATTACTACGCACAAAGTGCTCTGGTGATAATTTGGCCGCACATACACTTTTACCCTGTGACAACGATGTGGTATTTTATCTTTCACTGAGAAGTATGCTTCATAAAAGTTCCTTCTCTAATAGGGCAGGGTGAGGATCTGTATATAGGAAATGCCATATGAGGTCAATATCAGCTGCTTTTTGGTAGTTGTCCTCACTCACGGTCATGCACCTGACCCTCAGCAGCCCAGCAGGGTGGCAAGGTGAACACATGCCCACTTCTGTGACTAATTGCACACAGGTAAATTGTAAGGCTGAAAAAGCTTCCTTCAGCTCTACAGCCTCTGGCAGTCACTTTCAGATGGGGCAACTGCCACAAAGCCTCTGAGGGCAGCTGGAGCCCACACAGCAGCACGTGCAGCAAGAGCTCAGCTTGCTGCCACACATCACACTGAATTACCTGACACTTAGCTATGGACACACAGGTATTCAGAAGGAGCTGACACATGCTAATTCATTACCCCACAGTATGATGTTTTTTTTTCTAGTAGGCAGATCTAAGAGAACCAGGTACATTTGTTTTGTTTTTTTAACCCTATAATAGATATACAAAAGGTTGCTTTGATTTAGATTAAATGTAGTATACACAGTCTATGTTAGAACTTTTTCTGTGCATGCACACTATGGCAGTAATTAAATTCGTAGAAATTTTAAGATCTTTGTAGTCATGTGTGTACTTTTTCAAGTTTATGCAAAATTAAATTCAAGTAAGCAGCAGTCAAACAAAATTAAAATAGAATATGGACATGAAAATATGAAAAATGATTAAAAACTAATTTGGGAAATTCAACTACTTAATAGACTACTCATATTTATGTCAAAACAATCAGTTCTGAGGAAATGCTTTCCTCAACACGTATGAAAAATAGCAGAGAACTAAATGACTCCCCTATTCAGCAAAACTACATAAAAGAAAGAATAAGTCATCAAAATATGTGACAAGTACAGAATTGAAATCTGTAATTAACAACTCCGATGGAGTGGAATATTCATTGGCAACTGACAGAAACCCAAGCAACAGCCAGCAGGGAAATCACTGAGTAAACAATAAATATGTCTTTATTAATGAAAAATGGTAAGGCTTCTAGGGGGTAAGCATTCTTTGAATGTCACTGGCTTTGCTGAGTACAGCTGGTTTGCAAAGGACTTTAAAATACTTCAGGATGAAAAGTGATACATACTTATAAAACACTACCTTATCTACTCAATCATAAATTTTAGTTTTGTTTCCAAATTAAAAGACGGTGTAGTGAGAAAAAAATGTTTATTTGTTGCTCCAAATGAAGCAGCAACTGGATTTTAATCCGTTTTAATCACTAAGACTGATAGCGAGCATTATTTTTACATGATCAGAAATTAAACAGAGTACTGACCTATGATCTTACAAAGAACATATAAAGGTTGTTTTACAGCTTCAGGCTGTTGAAGGATGAGGTAGGACTCTTCCTTAACTCTGGGAACCCTGCATAGCATTTCACATTAATACACGATGTCTAGGACCTCTTCCACTTACAGAATCAAGGCACAACAAGATTCCCTCAGACAAGTGTAGTAAACTTACTTTTCACGTTCTTACAGGGAGAAACAAAGAATTACTGGTGCGGGGGTAATACCAGAGTGAATTTTGTAGCACAAATTCACTGAGAACCAAAGGAGAACAAGCCTGACCTCGTTCTGATCACACTCCTGTTCCTGATGTTGAACACTGATGTTTCTGCTGTGTAACAGGGTTTTGATGCTTTGTAGCAAGACAGCAAACAGATGACAGCAGACATGCTGCTGCCTGCTGTCAAGGGATTGGTGTTTTCAACGTCAGATATACAGAAGCATTGTTTGAAAGAAAAGTAATAATAAAAAAAAAAGATAAGGAATTAACGTTTAAAACAACTCTAGGTCATCTACAAATATTCATCATTCTCCCTAGTTCGCAGATGACAAAATTGAAGCTTACACAGTGAAATGTCCTGCCCAAGCTGGTTCAGCAGGTCAGGTGCTGAACAAAGAGCACTGTCATAGCCCTTTCACCCACTGCTCTGCTCCACTGATAACCCCACAGTTTGTAGTTTTCAGCATCTGAGGAAAGAAAGGGCAGAATAAAGAGGAAGTTGGAGAAAGCCTCAATGCCTTTTGAAAAGAGAGCAAGTGTTTCACAGAAAGTGAGCTGCAGTTTTAAATGGGAAAATATTTTACCACTTGAGGGAGCTGTAGTATAGCAAACCCATGCAGTCTTGTGAAAACGTGCATAATGAGGAAATCCAGACTATAAGGAAAAAGGGAAAACTACTTCCTTATGACCTTCAGGAAACCTCACATTTTTAGGGTACCTATTTGCCTAAATTTGGAAAACAAAGAGTATGTCCAAAGGTGCCAGGACACAGAATGGACAAAAAGGGTGCATCCCTCATCTAGTCTGCCCTGCACACTGCTCCTTCATTCAACATCTTTAAAATTTGGAATTAGGCCACTTCCCTACCTGATTTAATGCTATTTGGCAAATGCTGCTCAACAAACATTGGTAAAATTAACTGAATCGCATAGTCAGCATTCTGTTGTCTTCCTAGTACCAAGAGTAAGAAATCCAAGAAAAAGGTGAGCAGACAACAATGTTCTTTTCCTGGTGTCATGAAATGCATTGTGATTTTTTGGTACTGCAGAGATGCAAGAACAGAAGTCTGAATGCTAACATTGCAATTTTGTGCTGTACAAAATAAACATCCCCATCTCTCTGACAACTACACAAGGTATTTCCATCCTGCCTAACTTTAGCAAAGCAGGAGAACATCTGTTTGAATTTCAAGTGTCTATTGAACAAGGTAGAGACTGGCTCGTGTTTACAATTAGACTCTGTAATACCATGCTGATGAGGTACTTGCCAAATCCTTAGGACCTCTCACACTGACTGCATGGCATGAGTCACTTGTGTACACAGGAACAAATGACAGTGATCAATAAAGACCTTTTAAGTCAGTTTGCTTCCAAGGAGGAAAAAAAAACCTACAGACTACCTCAGGTTTGAAATGCGTCACCTATTTCCCCTTGGTTTACCAGCAGGAGTTGGCTGCGCTAAGACAAACCCCAAAGGCATCCACGTAAGTGCAGATGAATGCCCTGGAAGGGCAGAGCAGGCTGAGCACCAGTACTCTTCTCCCTCACCCCAACCCGAGGTGTAGACGATTCTTCGCCGGAGGAATTCTATGCAATTGCAAGAAAATCGGGATCACAGCCGAGATAAAGATCAGAAGCAGCCAAGTACTCCTAACAATGCAACTAATTTTCTGCAAAATGACACAGTCAATGTTAGAGCAGAGACGGTTCATTGCACCTGGTCCTGGTACCATATTTTTTGCCTTGGGCAAGCTAAATTCCCTATAAACAATGACAATGATCAAATGCTATTTTAAACTTGGAGCCTAAGAGGAAACCAGAGAAATCTCAGAGCCAGCCCCCAGACCCCAGAACATTCCTTCATCTCATCTACAGCAGGAAAGCAGATATCAAAGATGTCACCAATAAATCATTTTCCGGGGCTTTTATTTCATCTTGGCAAAAATCAGCGCTCTTCCTGCCTCTCAGCAGGACTGCCTCCCACCCCAAAGACTATAAAGAACTATACAGAAATCCATCTCCAATGCAAAGCCACATGAATAAAGCAGACTTAATCCAATAATAATTGAAATAATACAGCAGTGCTATTGCCAGATGTCCATGACAATCCAATAAATGACAGTTCACTGACTAAGACAGCCACCTTTTGGTCACTGGTCTAGAAGAAGTGGAGTACATGAGCTCAGAAACACTGCAAAATCATTCCCCCAAAATCTCTACTGCACTTGCACATGGAGTAGAACCACAGTGAGGAAAAAAGGGAAGAGAAAATTAAGTGAAAATACTATGTAAAACATGTTTTCAATACATTTTCCAGGACAACAGCTAGTATAAGAGCATGTGAATAATAAAAAGTAGTCTGACAGAGCAGTAGCTTTGTTCTGCATCATCTACACCAGTGACTGAGCAACAGTGCTCTTAACTGGTCTGGAGCTATAACCTGTGTCTGCCCTCTAGTTTGCCCACTGGACCCATTCTCTCAGGCTTTCCTCCCAAGAGAGGGAGATTGCAGGGAGAAAGGGCAGAGCACACTTTATTCATGTGAGGATGCAGCCTCTTAAAAGTCAATTTTTTGATCCCAATCTGGAGTTGTTTCTCCTAGAACTCCTCGATTTTAACTAAAAAATAATTTTATTTCCTTAAAATAATAATAAAAGAAAAATCAATAGACTGCATAATGAAGTTACCAAGCCTCAGGGACAAAAGAGACTCATCAGCACGTTTTTCTGATATGATCAAACAAATACGCATGGATTTAATGAGAAAAGAAAAGCTGCAGCCCTCAAACTGCTTAGCCACTAGCTTTGATCAACATCAGTATCTATATATATATATAAGCTGAAGCTCAGAAAAAGACTTAGAATACTACAGCTACACCGGATGAATAACAATGACTCTTCTCACAGGCAAGAACTAGCTGGAATTTAATTCATGAATTAAACAGCTACAGCTCTTCTGTGTTCTGGGTGTTCCAGCTGATGCTGCCAAGGAAGCACACACCCTAATAGAGATGCTGCTGTGCTAAATGTTACAGGTAACTAATTATTCCACTGATCCAAAAATCTTAATTTCTGTTGATACAGTTGTTCTTTTTAATAGAATATTCCTAAGGAGTTAAAAAATGACAGAATTCAGTATCACGTGGAGGTAGCAGCTAATCTTCACAATAGGACAGCTATACAGGTTCAGAACGTATTCTAAAGCATTATGAGTCACTAGGGCAACAACAGAATGTTTGTATACCTCAGAGAGATTTGTCATTAATTACTTCAATTGAAATTACGTGCAAACATGAGCTTCCTTCTGCTTTAAGATTGGCACCACTTCACATACAGAGACACGTGGTTTCTCTCATCTACAGTCACATGATTTTTCAGACTTAACTAATTTTATTATAAATTACGCTCTCCGGTTTGGATACAAGGTCACGCCAATTTTCCAGGGGCTATCTGTTTTTTCCAAGTCTTTATGATAAAGCTGTACCAAAACTGGCAGAGGAATACCTTTTTCTCGGCCCTTTTCCACCTCTTGCCTGTACGAGGTCCTTGCTGCGTTCACTGGACGGGAGCGCTGATTCTCTCCCCTACTGGCGCTTCCAGCAGCTCAGAAGTCAGTCTGTGGACAAATGGGATATATTTTCAAGACATGAACTATTATTTTGGCCACAAGTGACAAGTATATATAGGAAAAGAAAAATGCTAAATGAAATTTAAGCAGACGATTCAAACATGAATCAGTACTACCTAGGGACACAGATTATGACATATGTGTTTTGTGTTAATTAACCTTCAAAAAGTCTAAGCCCTTTGCTTTAAAAGGGTTATACACTTTTTTTTTTTTTACAATTCATACAATAATAAATTAACAGAGTCTCTTACAACCTACACAGTATAGTTTATCATCTTTTCATGAAAAAAAAAAAAAAAAAAAGCACAGGATTGTTACAAGTACATTTGGCATCTTCACAACGCAACTCCATTCTAAAGAGCAAAGTTTACCATGAGACAAGAAGAAAATGCCTATACCTTGCTGATAACATCACCTGCATTAGTACCCAGCCAAACCTTCACTGTGTGAAAGTATTTACTTGCACTTCATGAAATGATTATTTAATTTCCTAACATTGTTTTTTCCAATATTAACAGACTTCAAACTAAAAAGAATTCATCATTACTGTAAAATTTGTAAGACAATATGTAGAATGATATTTTGCCATTTTCCTGCAGCAAGAGGATGCTGTAAGCATTTTTTCCTCACTTAAGAAACGTACCAGGAAATACCAGCATAATTGAAGCAGCTTAGTGACATAGTTTATTAACTCTCTAATTTAATTAAACACCGTTAGTCTCCTAAACTATTCATCTGGATGGATGCAAGCAGTCATATCCAAATTCTAATCACTTTGGACAGCAAACCAGCAGAACAATTCCAGCAAGGCTGCAACATCTTCCAAAAGGAAGCTGTTTTCTTCAAAAAACATTGACTATATTGGCTGATTGTATGTATAGGTAATACTAACAGTTCCAGGTCATGAAGCTCTCTCCCTCTTGCCACCTTCGTGATTGTATCAGACATCTGGACTACTCCCTCCATTTCATGCCTGTGCTGAAGACACATTCATAATGCTGTCCTCCAAACATTAGGAAATCATAATTCAAAATCTCTAACACACTGAGGTGGGCCTATCCCACATTTATTTATTTGTTCATTTTGAGTCTGTAAGTCTCTAGTGGTCACATCTTTCCTTCATAGCAAGGATGGCTAGTTTATGTGTTTGTTTTTTACAGAAAGACAACACTACCACGTACAACATGGCTCCACAAATCACTACTTGACAAAATTAAAGTTTTGAGCATTCTGTAGAACTCCTAAAGACTGACTGTGCTTTCCCTGTTCACCTCTAATGATGACAGTAACATTAACTCTCACGATCCTGCCCAGTAGCAGAGTTTTGCTTCACCATTTTCTAACTTCCTTTTGAATTTCTTGTCCTCTTGCTTTGGTAGAATCAGTTGTGATTTTTTAAAACCTTCCAGTGAAGTGAAAAATTGGTTGTAAGCTGCAGATTTAGAACTGGCACACCTCATCTGACATTCTTGTTCATCTACTTCTTTTTCAGTTTCCACAAATACTGTTATTATCACTTACAGACCCACAGATTTTAGACCTGGACAGTCTCAGTCTAAGCAAAGCTTCCCCACCTTTAGGTAAGCTTCTGCACTGGCAGAGGTGTCCAACAAGACACACTGGCTTGCTGATAGGAGCCTAAATTAACAAGTAAAAAATGTACTTACCACAAAACCTATCTATGCAAAGTACATTTGTTCATTTAATACTTTAGAAACAAAACATGAATAATTTTTGGAAAGAACAAGCAATTCTTTCTCTAGAATATGCATTTCCTTGCCAAAAAAGCTTTAAGATTATTCTTAATCACAGAGCTAGCAACGACTTCAATTCCAGCACAGTACAAGCAAAAGTAAATGTTCAGTCTGCATTGTCTTTTTATGGCAAAATGTACGGACAAAGTAGCATAAAAATAGGACACATAAGTAATAAAAATCTGTTTTATGCACTTTTGCGAATGACTGCTTTTTCTGATCATTTATCAGATAAACACAGACTTTGTATTGGCTCTAACATTCAGTTTCTTGTTAAGTCTCAGCTTGATACTATTTCCGTTTCTTATTCAGCTGTTAAGGACATAATTCCATTAGATATCGCTTTATCATTCTTTTACAGGTTTTCCACTCTGAAATGATATAACCTTTTCCCTTTAAAAACAAAACAAAACAAAACAAAATACTACTTTTCTATATCCAAAGGAACATGTTCCTGATTGCTTTAAAGAAAAAAAAATGTTATTAACAAAGAGTATTTGTAAAATATTATTAGCACCCACTAAAATTCCTTCTGCTGAACTATGTGATAAAGCCTAAACATTTGAGAGTCTTGATCTGGACACTTGACATGCACTGACTGAAATAAGATCTGAAATATCCTTGAAATGAAATGGATTTTTATGTGTTTGATTATTAAAAACAATACTACATTGAGAAAGGGTGAATTCTCTAATTCCTTTCTCAATTTGTGCTGACATTTGACTCACCTCTAGTCAACCACTGCACGGAGACAAACAGAGCAAATATCTAAAAAATGGCACCCATGACACTACCATTAGTGATATCCATCCTGCGATTTCTACGTTAAGAATTATAGGTGTGTATGATATAAATCAGTAGGGGGCCTGCAACAGCTGAGAGAAGCAGGCCAGCCTTACGCATTTGTATGAAACCAGCTGAGACATTTGCCTGTTGCAGGAGACAGGAGCAGGTGACAGCTTATACCAGGAGGTTTGGGGTCACTCTAAGGATGCCAGCGGCCAGCTACCATCACCGTAACCTGGCCACCACACACCAGCACAAGCCACGAGATGGAAATCTGAATGCCAACTTTTCTGCAAGTGCTCCCATAAAACGAGTGGCCCACTTCAACTGCGATCACGCTCCCAAACACCACACAGGGGTACACTAACTACGTTTTTTGGTTTTTATCCCAATTCAAACACCATCCCCTCGTGCCTGCTCCTCATGCCCACCTCGCCTTAGGCTGCACAATGCTGCGTTGCTCAGTCCCCATCCTTCACCCTCTCCCTTTTGGCCTCTAGAGCCTTTAACGCCGCCACCTCACCGAACACAGTGCCCCAAAGGACACCGACATTAAGGAACAGAGCAGCCCCAGGACGAAGGAGCCGCTTTGTGTCCCCCGGGGGTGGTGGCAGCGGCGAGGGACGCGGCTGCCCCATCCCGCCCGCCCTGTGGCGCCATTTCAGGGCGCTGCGGGCCCCCCCGCCGCCTGCTCCCGCTGGGGCTCACCCCCGACCTCATCCCCAGCCCCAGGAGCCGGGGAAACATCTCCCCGGTGCTGCCGCGGAAGGCGGAAGCTGCTCCGGTGGAACACAAAGAGCCCTCGGCCCCTACCCCGGCACCACCGCCGGTGGCGTTACCTCCGCGCCGCTCCGCAACATGGCGGAGCCTTCCCGCTTCCTGCGCCGTGCCTCCGCCATCTTAGCGAGCGGCCGGGTGGGGGGTGAGCTCCCGTGCCGGCCCCCGGGAGAAAAGGAGATTTTTTTTTTTTTAAAAAAAGGGGTTATAAATCTTACTGCACGCGGTGACGGGTACCTGTGTTGCATATACCAGATTAAACAGTAAACGTGTTTTAAATAAGCACCGCAGCGCTTTCATATGCTTTCTACACCGAGCGTTTAAAATGTGTTTGTGAAAGGTTAATATTTCTGGTCGGCTCTGCAGCAAATGTACGGGTGTGTGGTGGGGGTCGTTCTCAATTACAGCAGAAAACCCGTGATTTTTAAGTAAATGCTTTTGGTTTTATTCACTGATGTTTATTCACTGTGTTGCCCTCTGCTGTCAGTAAAGGTTCCTGCCTCAAATTATCAAATACGATCAGCATAAATGCCCTTGTAGGGCAGGCACACCCCTTTTCTCCGTTTTCACACAATGAACATCACCAGTACTTATCACAAAAAAAAAAAAAAAAAAAAAAAAAAAAAAAAAAAAAAAAAAGCCCTTCTGTTGATGTATAGACTGTAAAAAAAAAAATCATATAAGCAATTTATTATATTATTGGAATGAGACAGGGACCAATATTCTCATGCTATCAAACTGTTAATCGGTGGTGCTGCAGCAGTTGCATTATACACTGTTAAGTGAAGAACCCTGAATGATTGCTAATTTCCTTTAATTTTTAACTCACAATGTATTTGTGTCAAGCTAATGAATTTGGAAGTGATTGAATATAGGGTACAATGGCCAGCCCTGTTCCACATTATGTATTATGGACAACTGGTGATTGCAGATGAGGTAGGACTTCCTTTTTGCCACGTCTTTGTGGCTACATACAACAAAGCATGCGACAAAGCCTATCCCAAAGAATCTGTAGTTTTATGGAACAAGAGGAGATGAAGGAATGGAAGCAGATAGCATGGCATTCCAGCACTGGTGCTGAGCTCCCGTGGCAGAATAGACACAAGAAGGAGCACAGCTCGCTCCTTGTGATTAGTCCTCCTATGAGCAGGGATCAGAATGGTTGACACCTGTCTTTCAAGGCAGGTTCTTCACTCAGACCTTTCTCAATTAAACCATCTTTGGTCTAATGAATGAGGAATCATTGTTCCAGTTTCCCACATATAAAAGAGACAACAATGCTTTCTCAATTACTCCTGAAGTAAAACAAAAATAAAATATGATAAACATTATATATCTGTTATACATATATATATATGTATACATGTAATGATATATGTGCACATCTTAGTGTTTACATGGTTTTCCAGGATAAAATCAGTGTTCCTGTAACAGCTTGTGTTCCTTGAGACTTCAGTGTTTGCTGTAATAAGTATCTACTTGTCTAAAAACACAGGCTTCTATTCAACAGGGTGAGATACTCTGCCAGCTGATAAAGTGTAAAATGTGCACGGAAATCGTTGGAAAAATGTTGGTCAAACACTGTTCATTATAAGATTCTTGCACAGAATAGCATGTTTAATATAAGCTTCCCTAAGATAAAAGATTTTTTCTACAACAATGGTTCTGTTTGAAAAAAAGTATCAAAACAAACCAGATGGGTGATATTTACTCTATACAATTTATATCTATGTACACACACACATTTAATTGTATCAGGAGTAACCATACCTGATGTTTTATAATGTAATTCAGCACTTTATCATATAGTCCCATAGTGATATAACACATCATTTTGGACATATAATAATTTATCATTACTGATTTTAAATGATCTATCATTTTCCATTTTCTGCATGTAATCTACATAAAAGTCATTAGCATAAGAACATGTGAACACTTTGGGCATGCCATCAAGCAGGAAAATGGCAAAATTGCTAGAATAATTATTTTGTTTATTAACCTAGACCCATACCTGTGAAAGAGATTGCCATTGCTGAAATCAGAACAATGATAATAAAGTTTCTTTTCATGAAATAAAAAGCTTTCTTCTACCAGTTTTGAAGATGTGTATTGATAAGGTATTAGCAATGAATTATTGCAGAGCTGTACTCCCGTTCACCAAATATATGTAATGTAATTATTTAAAACAAAATATTTATGAGTTCTCTTAAAGTCTTCATTCTTCCAATTGTTTTTCAAAGGGATAAGCTTTAGTCTGCACTTTTTATTGTCTGTTCTTGGAATTGTAACAATTGCCTCCAGAATAGCTCAGAGAAAACATGTTTTGGTGGGAAGGACTGATGGATAGCCATTTCCTGTAAAATCTCTAGACACAAGCACTGGAGCTGTGGTTTAAACTTTCTGAAACCTTGTGCACAGGTAATAGCAGCAGCTGTTTCTTATGAAGTGGAATCAGGGAAATTACATCCTTCTTGAAAACCTAAAAGGGAACTGGTAAATGGTCACTTGCTAGAAATGCTTCTAGTGGGGGAGGCACACTCAATACCAATGTTCTTGGTAAACAGTATAGATCAAAGCATCAGCAGGGAATCAGATGAATAATAGATTTACATAAACATGGCAGAGAACAGAATTTGTCTCCCTGTCTTCAGCAGGAAGCTTAAACACCAAAGCTGTGCTAAATGATAAAAAATACTCTTGCTTCCTGAATGAAAATCAAAGAAAGGCAGAATTACAAATATCACTACTACAAATACTATCAAGCATGTAGAGAAATATATATATATATATAATTTATGCTTCATACAGCATTTTATAGGTTTTCAAAGCACTGAATTGGCAAGAGGATACTTTTGTATTAAATCTCCATGATAATATGACTGAAAAAAACAAATGTGAGGTGGCAACAGTTCAGAAGATCTTTGTTAGCATGACTGAATAAAACGGATTTGTTCAGAATTATGGCACAGACTCTGAAATATTATTTTTATTTTTCTGTGTCTTGACTAGGAAAAATTAGATCAAATTACCCTGGGAAATCTAGAAAGCCAAATATGATTAGTAAAGGCACTGATCAATTAAGAAGGATCCCTGTTAGTTTAGGGAAAGCCTTCACTGTTCACCAGCAGGTATGACAATCCTGTACACAATATCAGTGGTTGAAAATGGTTTCTAAACACTAATGAGAAAGTTCACCCAATGAGAAGGAGATGTGACTGAAATTTTGCCCGTGATGTTACTTTAGATTTGATAGGGAACGTTTTATCATTCTCACTGGGACTGCATGAAGATGAGAGCAAAAAGGTACTTGTGGTGTTGTGGATCCTTGTTCCTCTGACATGTTAATTGCACAAAACATCTGGTGATGGCTGAGGAAGGTATGCTTTGTAGTATACCTTACTCCTAGTCAGTTTTTTAAGTGCTTAGTGAATATTTTGCCATGCAAGGCACTCAGTCAAAGTCTTGATTTGTCCTCCAGACTGGTATATAACATAATAGCTCTGAAGTCTCAGTAGACACACAGGCAACAATTTGCTTGTAAGAGATTCCTTAGCTGTTTAAAGACTGAGAGGAAGGTTGGCCTGATTGTTGTTAACATTTGGTTAACTGTTTCTTCTTTGAAACAGTCATGTGAAAATTATGAACGTTATTGCAAGCAATACTGCATGGTTTAATGTAATATTTCCTGTATTATTAACATCACATACTGATTTCATCAAGTCCTAGCAATGTGTTACTGTATTCATAATCTTTTTGTTCTAGTGAAAGCAAAGAAAATAAGAGGTAGCAAAGTTATTTTCAGTGGAAAAGAGATTCTTTCCTTTATAAAAAGAACCTCAAATATACTCAACCCCCTCCCCCGAACAGTTTCTAAGCAGTATTTTAGTTGCGTGCTTTACATCATACCTGGTATAATTTCTAGTGCTTATCATACACAAACAGTATTTTGACTTTGTAATATCACTGAAGTCATAATCCTATTAAAGATTAATTTTGCAAGCTTCCCGAGAAACACAGTTTAGGCTCAGAAGTGGCTAAGAGCCACGTAGAGCTTCACTGCCTTTTCTCTCCAATGGGGAAGTTGATTTATGAAGCTTCAGTTCCCATGCCTCTGTCCCAGCTCCTATTCTCCAA